ATGCCGCCAGCGCACAAACATTTTTTTTATGCTGGTTTCTGCTTCTTCTGTGCTTCGTTCGCTTCATTTACAATTTACAACGCACTCTCTTTTCTTCTCTTTCTGCTCCTCTCATTTGTTAAAACTCTTTAGTTTTTCTGAGCTCTCGCTCTTACGCTCAGTCATGTAGCAAATGTTCTCGTTTATGATTTATTTGCGGTAAGCCTGCGATTATTATTTTAATTGAATTGTATTTTTTGTCAGGTGCAAATGAAAAAATTAAGTAATTTATAGAAAATTATTAATATGTATGTCACAGCTAAATTACACGTGTTTAGCAAAATTTGCTCTCCCCCAGTCTTTTCCTGTACTTTTTCAACCTCTCTTCTCTCATTTGATCTTGTTTGCACTGGCTTGATTAGTATTGACGCAGATTGCTTGTGGGGATTTTCAATTGAACTTAGATTACCGCAATTAATCTGTCGCATATGCATCTTGCTTTTATGTGTGTGCACTCGTGTGACATTAAAAAAGTATATAGAAAATGGCAAAAAGATAATAATATTTAACATTCTCGCCAAGTCGCCATTTAATTACTGAAAAGGTCTGTTACATACATACGAATTTTTTGCTTCTTATTTATTTTTTTATTTTAGCTATATCCTTATAATTTGTATTTAAAATATACCGGTAATATACATATGTACGGGAATAAATTGAGTAAAAGTCTAGGACTTTGGCTTTAAAAATTATTTGTTATGGTAAGATTTAAAAAAGTGAAAAAGCACTTGCTTTAAAGTTTATGTTTCTTTTTACCCTGCGGAATTTGTAAATGTAGCTTTGATCAATGTTACATTTTTACACAATATTCTTGTCTAGTTGTAACAAAAATTAAATTTTTATTACAACGTCTTACATCGTTTCTGTAATATCCTATTTTTGCTTTTGGTTTGTTTGCGGATAGAACTTATTTCTTATTTATTTTTAGCTAAAATTACAGGGTATTACAACTTCGACTTGGAGTATTATAATTTCCTGTAACTAAAATGCATAGAAGGTGAGCCGAGACAAAAAGGCAACAAAGGTGGGGGAAGGGGAGAAAAGAGACAGAGAGAGAGCAAGTGCATAACAACAACAGCAACATATGAAATGAATACTGGTGCAAAGGCAAATGAAAAGAGACACACGTGAATAATAATTGAAAAAATTGTAAACCGCGGCGGAAATAAGGGGGAAGCTTGAGGAGTAGATAATTAACATATGGGAAAGGTAATGAACAAAGATTGAATGAAATGAATGAGCGGAGGAGATGAAACCTGAAATGTGCACAGAAACTTAAATAAAATAAATAATTAAATGCTATTTATGCATAATAACAATGTGAGTAACTTAGAATTAATAATCTAATATTTTGTTCTTACATATTTGTAATTTTAATATCAAAAACAGTTCCATTTCGAATAAAAGTCGCTTTCATAACCTAGTTCCTATTCCAAAAATTATTAATCATGACAAATTTAATGATTGAAAATTCAATTAAATTTTGCCGCCCCTGTCTCTATTCTTGAAATATATGATTGCAATATTTAAAAAAAAACGAAAAATTGCTTCTATTGCTCTAATAACTACATAAAAATGTTCTTTCAAAAAACCTAAAGCCTCACATAAAAATGCAAAATTTAAAAATAATACACAGCGCCTTGAATCTAATATATTTCGCATTGTTTAGAGATCAAATCTGAAACTCAAGCCGATTTAAATATAAAACCATTTTTTTTTAATTTCCTTTCCACCAGCAATAACCATAAATTGGAATATGATTACCCAATTCAAGGAATAGTCGATTGTTTAGGTAGCTAGATCCAGAGAATCGATCGCAAGGAAAACCCAATACCGGCTGAACCTTATCGCAGTCTGTCGCCGTCTGGCAATGGATCGATATTCCACGAAATTTAGGAAAATAAACATTACCAGCAGGCGAGGGAACACGACGGAGGAATATGGAAAAATAGAGAGATAGAGGGGGTGAAAGAAGTGCAGCGAATATCAAAGGGGCGTGGTATGTAGGATTTGACACCTTTTAGGTGACAGGACTCACACCCCCACACTATCTTTTCTACATTGAAACAAAATGTTTTCAAAATGTGAGATCAATGTTATCAAAATGAAAGATTTTATTTTTATATTGCGAATATAATCCAAATACAAGTAAGAAATATATACAAAAATATATACGGTTTTTAATATATATCTTATCATACCCCTCTTTAAAAGTTCAAAACTAAAAAGTGTACCCGTGAATTCTTAAGCTTTATATTTATACTATATTTGTTACTACTTATCTAAAATGTTATAAGAAGAATTGCAAGTATATCAAAATTAAACAATATCTTCGATGTGTACTGGATATAATTTGTAAATGAGTTAGAGAGGAAAGGAAAAAAATAGCTTTAAAGTTTTTAGAATATCTTATCAAAGGCTCTTTATATAAGTTTCTTTAGCTTAAAATTCTTTCTTTTTTTTTTCTATTAGATATCTAAAATGTTATAAGAAGAATTGATCCCATGACATCAAAAATAAACATAATCTTCTTCGTGAACTGGAGATTGCATTAATGCTAATAAGGGGAATAATTTGTAAATAAGCTGGGGAGGAAAAGAAAACAAATAGTGTGGAACTTGCAACTGTCACAAACATCAAAACCCTCTCTTTCGCTCAATCTATATCCATCTCCTTCCGAGCTACTCATCAATTTTCCGAGCACGTTCTCAAAATGTTTTTGGCGTCAGGAGAAGGAGTTCGGAGGAACAAAAGGAGGGGGATAACCACGAATGCCAATTTTGGCAAAAACAAGTGACAAACACCAAAAACAGGACACAAGATGGACGGAATGGCAAAAACAAGATTACTGGGTGTTTGGGGGGAATGTGAAGGGGCAAAAGGCCATCGCACTATTTATGTGTGAGAGTAGTGTGTGTAGAAATTTTTCGGGCCAATAAGTCACACACCAATAAAAGCAAACAAACCAACAGGCAAACGACGAACAAACAAACAAATAAACAGTGAAAGAGGCAAACACAGCCATCGAAATTGGCAACAGCCGGATGCTTTTGTTGGCTACCATCGATGGCAAAGATCATTGTGACCAGAAGCAGAAGTTGTATCAAAAACTGGCCCAGAACCCAGGCCCAAAACCAGACGTGCTATCAGTGATGAGCCTCTGGAAATGCAACTGTAAACTCTCTTAGAAAAATAAAAACCTGTCATAGAAACACGTCGTTTAACCGGAGGTTACATTTTCATTTTTTTAGAATCATGTGCCAATAATTTACATAAATACGTTAAAGGCACCAAATTTTACTGTTAAGAAGATAATTAAAACTAAATAATTTAAAGCCTGCCACCATTTGCTTAGTAACGTTTAATAGCTAAATCCTACAAAAGGTAAAACTAGCTGTTAGTCTTTTATCAAAGGTTAAAGTTAATATTCAATACATATTTTTAGTTTTTCATTTTAATTAATTTTCGATCAATAGTGGAGTGATATACAATTTGTTAGTTATTTGAAAAAGGTTCTTTCATCTCATGATTCCAATTTATAAATTAAAAAAACAAACAATTATGTTTAACATTTATTAAGATCTTATGAATCATATATGAATCTTAAATACAAAATAAACCTTTTTTGTGTTGTTTTTAAAGTTTTGGCTTGGAACAACAATTACATGATTTCCCTTGTAGATTGGTTTTTTTTTGATTTGATTATGGAAACAATTTTCTTAATAGTAGAAGTTTCCTTTCAAGTAGTTTTGGACAGGTGAGTTTCTAAATTATCTGTAAACAATTTTCGAGCACTATTTCCAGGCACTAAATGAACTCATTCGTTAGGTGATTAACGAAAGCATGTGTAAGGAAAGGAATTCGTCGGAAATTGAATCATCTCTATAGCTCCGAACCGCATTCTGTCTATCTGAACGTAGTATATCTGATTCTCTGGCGGCACTCATCTCTCATCGCTAATGGGTAACGACTGACAACATCGATCCGAGTTGGACCCGATGACCAATTTCAGATTTGCAGCCTTATTTGACCGGACCGCAGCAGCCTTGTCTATTTCAGAGTGCTGATGTCTGTGCGTATAGTGTGCTGCCATATTTATGCGTTCGCAATGCAGACGTTTTTAATGTCTTTTCTACAAGAACAGAAGGAGCAGCAGAGCCGGCTGGAGCCAGCTTACTCGTCGAGACAAGAAGGCCTTTCCTCTTCATTATCCGCAGCCACAAATTGCATCCAGTGCAATGCCTTGGAGATTTCATGGCTGCCCAACATATCTCTCAATATATCTTCGGCCTCTCGGTTGCCGAATTTTGCATAATAAGTGCAACAGCAACATGGACAACCACAAGCCGCAAAAACAACTTAAGTGTACATGAAATCAAGCCGGGGAAAGGTGGGAAAATTGGGTGAAGGCAGTTCGAATTCCTGATTGAATTTGCCTCAATTAAATTCGGAGAGAACTAGAAGAAGTGGCTGACAATTATCCCTTAAGAAAAGGTCAATTGGATACTCCGTATTTGGTTTGTTTAACTACAAAAGAATAGTTAACTATGTATGGTTAAGTGTATTGCTAATGAGTGTATTAGTTAACTATGTATGGGTAAGTGTATTGCTAATGAGTGTATTACTATGCAATCATATTTGTTAATGAATTAAATGAAACTTACTATATCGTAATATAATGTTTTTTTTATATCACAAATTTGAATTATTCTTAAAATAAGATACGAATTTTTCAAATATTGCCTCAGGCTTAACAATTAAAATCTAAGTGAATATACATTGTTGAAAAAAATAACACTGTCTAATAATTATGAGTTCAAACAAAATTTTTACATTTGTATGATTTTATTTGTTACTTCTAATAAAAATTAACCGACTAGTTTTTGGAAAAAAATATTATATATGTTCTAATTTTCCAACGAAATGGGTTTGAAGATATATATCTTTTCCGAGGGTATTACCTGGTCTTGAGCGTGGGTGGTGGCCACCAAAATTCCGAGGAGCAGGGCGATGAGCAAGAGCGGCTCTAAGGAAATCTTCTGCTTTGGCTTCATTTTCTCCGTTGATATCTTCTGTCGTTCCTGGTTTTTGTTATTTCAGCTAATGGCTTCCAGTTTTGTTTATTGATTTAACGATTAGAACTGGCGGCAGCACAGATATATATATAAATATATATATATATTTTCAAACTTTTCAAACTGGTTTGACACTAGAAAAATGCTGTTTTAATGCACACATGGATTATTATGATTATGAATTTGCCAGACACTATTTCCGATGCGTTATCAATTAAATTTCAAAACAAAAGAGATAAAGATAGAGAGACAGGGTATTAATTAAACATTACACACTGTAAAATTAACAACAATTTAACGTATGCGCGCGCGGCTAAAATCAAAGAAAGGAAATAGAAGAGCGGGGGTAATAAACAAAACGTTTACGCAGAGAGAATAACACTTAAAATAAGAAGAGACAAGAGCGCGACTACTTGGTGTTAGTATTTGTGGGTGCTTTAATGTTTTATAAGATTATTTATGATTTATTTCCATATATAAGTCAAAAGAATTAAAAGTTGCATTTAAATTCTTTGTTTTCCTTTGTTTTTGTAAATTTCCCCTAAAATACGGTGATTTTTCAACGAAAAAAAACACGACCGCCCACCACTACAACCACACTATTCGCTCTCTGTCTCCTCTGCCCTCTCTTTCCCACTCATGCCGCTATGGCGGCTTCTTTATATGTCTTTTTCTCTTCTGCTTCGCCTGCTTCTTCTTTTCGTATCTTTCGGCCCGTTGTTTTGCTGCGTTTATTTTTGTTGCATTAATTTTTTACTATTCTCCGCACCTTTTCTTTTTTGTATTTACAAAATTGCACTCGCGATTTGATTCGATGGTGTACAAATTTCTTTACACTCGAGTGGCGACCAAAAACACACGAAATCGCGCTAAAATCCGGACGTGCCTACTCCGAACCGTACAAATTTTTCGAATGATTTTCGGTAGAGCTGGAAAAAAAGATATATATACATATATCGATATATTATTTACGAATCGATGTATATCGAATGGGAACGTAGCTCTTTTAGTATTTTTAATTTGAGGGCTATTTTTCTGGGGCTCAGCCGCGGTCACACTAAAGAGGAGCTCTTGCGCTCTTACTCTCTTTATCATACACTTTTTTTTGGTTTCAGTATTTCTGTTAATAAAACTTACAGTCGAACTTGCATAAGTCGAATTATTCGAATAGAAGCTATGTACCTTTGTGAATATACCTCGGCAGTTATAATAAAAATGTACTAGTCAATGAACCTTTTTTATACGTTCCTTTTTATAACATTGTGTTATACGCTTTTACATTTTTAGGATAAGGAATTTCGGTTGTAAATTTACAAAAACCTACGAGTTACTTTAATTTAAAACGACCTATTGTTCCCATGACAGCTATTTGATACAACCGTCCAATTAAAAAAAAATAAAAATGAATATATCCCGAAATGTGTGGATATATGTTTAAAATCAGCGAAGCGATCACGATTTGCTTTTTAATTTTTCACTAATTGTTTTTGTTTTATTTAGACTCATAGTAAGAACCATATTGTTACTGCCTATTTTTAAAACAGTGCTCCATAGAGTTTGCTTTATTTAAAGAAGACGCAAATGACCCCCAAAAAATCACTTAGTTATAATGGAGTATTGACATATTTAAATGGATTCTTATCTAAGCTGGCAAAAGTTGAAAACTCTGTTTCTGCAACTCAAGCCAGTGTAATGATCTTTTTCGGCCCTAAAATTGGGATTGACGGATCATAGCTGCTACCATTCTGCAGAGACTTTCGAGAATATAATTTTGTTAAATATAAAAAGGGAATGAAAATAATGGTTTCTTGGGTAGGAAATTCTATTTTTATGGCATAAATCGAAATTTACTTACACCATGGAAAATGATAGTGATGGGAAATATATTTTTTTACTGAACAAAAAACCAAATATTATGGAAAAGTACAACCTTTATTTCAGAATTTTATTATTATACCGACTTACTCTTAAGCCCAACATACAGAAATGAATATTTTATATTTGTATTAATTATATTTAATTAAATTTTTGTATTTTTGTAAGCCCTTTTTTAATAACTGGATTAAAAATGTTGTCCCTTTTATATAAAACGAAAACGGAATAATCACCTCAAAAGAATAAGAAAATTTCTTTAAAATCAGACCATTTAACAGATCAAAGTTTAAAAGATTTTTCAAGTTTATCTGCGTGCACATATAAACGACTTATCTCGAAAATCGTAAATAATGTCTATATGTCGAAGTACATGAATTACTGTGAACGGCAAACAAATATCCCGAGTGGTAAGATGAGTTAACAAGAAAACAAGAATTGTATACGGTATTCTGCTAAAGATACATTAGGTGGAAACTTTTATATTTGGATGTCTTTCAATTGTTTCTCTTCTAGAGTAATATTTCTCGATATTAAGGACGTCGAAAAAGTAAGAAAAGCAAATACTCATGTCATAATTTAAAGGCATATAAACCTCCAAAATTGATCTACGTTGTCATACAACGATTTTAAATTACTGAAGTTTTACTGAAACTACTTTAACGATTGCGACCTTTTACTGTTTTACGAAAAACTATGCCGTATAATATAAATTAGGAAATGACATATATTTTTTTCTCATTATCTTTTTTATACTTTATAATTTTAGTCAAAAGTTTTCAACGCATTTGATGATCAACATCACCAGGCCAGTCGATCTAGACATCTCCGTCCGTTTGTCCGTTTAAACATTCGCATACTTGTCCCACAAATTTAAAGTTATTTCGATAAAACCGACTATAAACCTCATTGTTTCTCAATATTATCCATATACTCCGAGATATAGTCATTTCAAACGATTTCGAAATTACCGTTTTACTTTTATAAAAATCGGACGACTACAACATCAAAAAAATTATCGAAAAATCGATTTTGTTTTAAATCGAAATCAAAATGTAGAATAGTTTAATTTTGTAACAGCTGCAAATGTACAAGCCGCAGTTTTCTTTCTTTCTCGTTTTTTTGATAATATACCAGACTGCAGCGCTTGGGTTATGTTTTGAAAATGTATTATGTTTTTCAAATACAAGAGTGCTTAAAAAATATAAAAGCGAATTTTGATTACTAGTTTGCCCAAAAACAATTCCTCGAAGCGCATTGGCTATAACGTCATTTGTTTGGGACCAGGTTGAACCAGTTGATGTGAAATCAGTTTTAAGTAAGAATTTACATAACAAAATTTGTATTGAATATTTGGATGCTGCAGCCTAACTAGTTTATGTTTCTGCGTACATTTTTATATTTAATTCAATTACATTTGTTGTCTAATTTGAGATATTATTTCCTCTAATATTTCCCATTGTATCGTGCTACCAAAATGGTTTCCAAAGACCAAAATTCCATACAGCATGCTGACACACGAAAACTTTTTATATAAAATATATATGTTTTGGAAGAGATTATGTGAGTAGTACGTGGGCTAAAAAGAAACGCAAATTGAATCAAGTCTGCATCTTCCAATCAGAGAAATTAGGTCATATCCTTGTAGAATCGTTTTTGGAAAGTCTTTAAAGAACATAAGTACTCAGAAACTCTGTACTATTCTTATACAATCGCTCGAAGTTTGCTAATAAGACATTCTATTTTTTTATATATTTTAATAAGAAAAGGTTTTCTTCCATCTTTGACAATTATATTTAAAAAGGTAGCGTTTTCTCTTTAGTTAAAGGAGTTTTTTTCGTAATCGTATTTTTCTACGCCTTAACTCCGACCAGTATAAGCACTTTATTTTTTAAGCGTCTGTGGGAAGAGGCTATAAACAGCATTTATAGGACCAGCCAAGTGGTTTGAATCTCTGCTAGGTCATAACGTACTGCGCATGAGCTGCTGGTATTTTAAAAGAATTTAATTTAAGTATTTCTACAGATTCACGTCGCGGCCACACTCGAAGCGAATATCGAAAACGAAACACATCACGCGGGCGAAATTTCGTGAATTCAGCATTTACAAATTGTAAGCAGTGGTTTGTTTAACCAATTAGTTAGTGTTTTAAAATAGTGATAGTCTTGAATAATGGAAATCAGAATAAACTCGGAAGCGAAGCCGCAGAGCGCCCATCGATTTTTTCACGGCGTTGCCGGTGATGGGACGCCGTTGATACACACACACGCAGAAACAAATATGTGTATATGGCGCGACGCTTGTGTGTGAACGTGTATTTGTATAAATAATATGACATAATCGACGTGTGCGGCTTAATTGACATAGTTTTTGTGCGAAGAATACCTAAAAGTGCGGCGAGAGCGCCGAAAGAAGCGTATCTTGTGGTCAAAAAGTGGCGAAAAGGACTCGCACCGCTATTTCCCCCTACGCTTCGCTCTAACAATTCGTTCCTCCCCGCACACTCTCTCTCTCGCACACACACACAAGCTCGTATATTTGGGCGTTGCAGGATGATGTACCTCTCTCTCGCTCTCTCTGTTTAAACTATTGAATTTTTTCCGCAATCTGAGAAATTTGCACCGCAATGTGATGCTTTTCGATTGTTTACCAAATTTAGTTAACCCCGATTTGGAAGCCAGTTTGTCTGGGAGTTTCTTAAGTCGAAATGTTTTTTAACATCTCCACTTGACGTTGCCCAACACTACCCGCTCGCCTTCCAGTTCGATTCGCTTGTGCCGTTCTCTTTTGTGCTTCATTCGTGCGCTGGTCGTCGGACGTGTCCGTACGATTTTGGATTGAGTTCTCGTAGGCAATTCAACTATTTATTTGCAGCAGTACGCGGTGCATTCTTTACAAGAATTAATAGTGCAAAGTGCCGTTAGCATCGGCCATCTTTAAAATATATTAACATTTATTTGGTGTAGTGAAAGAAGCACAAAAACAAAAAACCAATTATTTAAAAAAAAATTGTATTAAAAGCAATAAAAAGTTAAATCTTTTACATTTTCTCCCCTTTCCCTCCCCTTTTTCGTTAGTCTCTCTCTCTCTGTGGCATATGTGTGTTTGTATAAAATAGCAGCCGAAAATCGAGGTGCGAGAGCGAGAGTACAAATAAAAAACGCGTGCGTTCCTCCTCTTACATACAGTGACTGTGACCGTTGTATTTGTGACCTGTGCTTGTGGCCACTGGAGGATCGACGATTTACGAAGAATACGAAAAATACCGGTGAGTGTCCATATATTTTAGGGATAGTGTGTAATAATCCCGTTAAATATTAATGATCCGCAAGTGCTCTGTATTCGCTTTTACTGTTCCAATGATGAGCAGCAATTGCCCGGTGACGCCATCTTTTGTGCTTCTCTAATAAGTGTTGTTTTTGTTTTTTGGGTTTGGTCAAGCACACGCAATTCGATGTGTGTGATAGTGTGTCTATTTTGTTGTTATGCTTTTAGCACAGTGGCGGATTTAGAGTAAAATTTTAGGGGACTAAACTTTTTAATTTAGACTGTTAAAAAAAAAATTATTTCATGAGCTTATTTACATATTAACATAATCTAATACATTTGAGGGTGCTATACCCAGCTCCCCTTTTTAATCCGCCCATGTTTAAGCTTAATGTTCTAGCCACTTTTCTTCTCTCTCTTTTCGGGTGGGAGTGAATGTGTGTGCGTGTGCTTTTCCTTTCCTTATGATTCATGCTTCGTTCTCCCTCCGACTTTCTATGCGCTTGTCAGTTTATAGAAAATAGAAATACAGTTGCACGTCATACGGCTTTCAGATTATCGTCGCCGATTTTATCAAATTTGGTTGTTGTAATTTTTTGTAAAGCAATTTGTTGCTACTAGCGAATCTTGAGAGTGTGTCTAATGCACTTGGTGCCATGTCGCTAGTAAATCGCCTGCTTGCGCGCATCTGTTGGCAAGTTTCGTGACCCACTTTTCTCCTTGGTCCCTCCCCTTTAGCAAAGTAAATAGCGAAAAGCAGCAACAAGTGATAAACAGATTTGTAAATATTGAAAACTTGTTTATGCCATTTGTCAGTGCAACCTGATGCCTGCAGACAAGATTTTATAGTTTTCAACGTGAGTTCTTGCAGTTGGTTGGATTATTTTTGTAAGTATCGGCGAATGTTAAATTTTGAATTTGCACCGATATTGTTAGAGTTATTTTTAGACTTTAAAAATAATATAATCCATAAATAATTTTTTTAGGGTTAAAAGAATACTACTTCAGAAAGAAAAATATTTTCCTTTTTTTAATTCTTTATATCAAAAAACATTTTCATTTAATTTTTATTGTTATATATATTTTTTTAGATCCAAAATTCTAATACAATCGGTTATTAATTATTACTATTTTCAAAAAATTAAGCTAAATTAAATGTGACTAATGAAAAAATACTTTTATTTACTTTATGAAAACTGATCATGGTTTGAAAATGTATATCAAATATTATAAATAGAACAAAAAATATAAAAATGGCGCAAGTCATACAAGTTGGACTGTATTTCTGTTTTGAGGCAATCTTATCAGAACCTTCGCTCTTGTTACGCTTTCTGGTTAGATTGCTGTTCCGATACAAGTACCTGTAAAGTAGGTACACAGAAAAACCGCATTATAATTTCTAAGGACTTGATGATCACATTGCTAGGGTCTAACTAACCGACAAATTTTACTTTAGCAACTTTCTACAATTTTTATTATTTCCTGCTCATCATATCGAAATTTAGCATTCCATTGCTTCAACTACCTTTTGTGGGCTACATGACGTCATTTCGCACACATTGCTTATAAAAAAATAAAAAAGAAAATTTGCTCTTTTTGTTAGCTGGCTTTTGTTGCTAATTCGAATTTGCTCATACACATAGACATGGACAGTGGGCTTTATAATTCAATGCTTATGCTGCCTCCCCCTTTATCACCCCTTATCACTTCCACTTGTGCCGTGTTTTTTCATTTGTTCCTCTTGGTCCGTTGTTCATTTTGAATTCGCAAATTAGACGTGACTCGTTCGTTGAGGGTTTCAATTGTTTTTTTTTTTTTTCCACACCGCAAGTTGCATTGCGATAACTTACGAAAATCGTTGAGGCTTTTTTTGTATCTTTATAAATTGATATTTAATGGAAATTACATAACTGTTATACAAAAGAAAAAAGAACACGATTAAAAAAAAAAAACAGTATATAATCCGTTACATCTGCTTCGAATTATAAAAGTGAAAAATCAATGTGTAAGTGGAACAGCGGAAATCCCAATGTATTTATAAGGAGAAAAATTAATACGAAAATATAATTTACTTGATGATATTACATAAAATTCTGACTTTTTTATACCTTATGCGAATACAATATATCCACAACTGATATTATATATATATTTTAAAATATCAAAATAACATTTATTAGCTTAACAAGTTTAGGAGCTGTTGAATTTAAATTGTGTCTTTTACTATCAGAGGCAGATAGCATTATTATATTCAAAATGAGTCGACAGTATTTGTTTCTGTGTGTTTGGCTCATTCTGACGGGAGGAAGTGGATAGTTAAAACTGTAAACAAACAATTGTTGAGGAAACTAACCAAAAAAAATGTTTGTATGGAAATGAGACGGAAATTCGAAAATGACAGACCCCCTAAACAATTTGAAAAAAAGATAAGAAATGCACTTCAAGAAGAAGAAATAACCAACTTTCTAACCTTTATTGAGGCGTGTCCGTCAATGCAAATGCATTTGATGGGCCAACGAGCCCTAATGACTTTTGATTGGGAATTGAAAATTGTTTACTCAAGCGTATGCCTATCAAAAAATCCCACTGACGTCACAAGACTAATGATTAATTGATTTGAAAATGGTTAGGATTAAGCTGCATAATTTTGATTAATAGGCTGGGAGTTTCCTTATGCGATGTGCCTGGCAACCCTGGCTAAGACCAAAAACAAATTTGTCCCAAAGCCAACGCTTAAAATTTATGGCTCCCTGAAAGGCAAACAAAAAAAATGTACTCTGTTTCTGCCCTAAAGCAAATTGACGTGAAGATGCAACAGAGTGAGACGGGAAGATTGAGGGAGAGCGAGAGAGAGACAGAGACCCACACATAAATAAATAAAAGAGGCGTACGTGCCAAGCTTCAAAACAGAGACACATAAGCGAGATTAAAAAAAAGAGAGATGTTGCTGCTGGCTAAACAACTGCAGCTCATCAATAAAACAGCAAGAACAACAATAAACCAGGCAAAAGAGATAGAAGAGACAGGGACAAGCAATAACAAATGTACAGTTGCAGAAGAAGCACAGCCGCATCAGCCAATAACAAACTGCTGCAACACAACATATATCTTGGAAGAAAAAGAGTTGACTGCAAGTCGGATACCCATTACCCTTTAAATGGTTTTGCATGAAACGTTTTTTTTTGTGAAACGACAAGAGAAAATGTCAGTCACTTAATTAAATTTTTGTTTTTTAATTACTTCATTTAAATTTTTAATAAATATATGAGTTTTGTATAAAACTATTCAGAAACAATAAATCAAACTTCATTTTGCCAAAATAAAAAATGTACTTCATTTTGCAACAGTTGAACTTATCCAACAACAAAATTGAAACCTATTCAAAATCACACTAAATATTTAATACAAAACAAGAAGTACTCCAATCCAATCCATTCATAAAATAATATTAATGTGTTGGTCGAACATAAATTCTGCATATATTTTAAACCTATCTGAAACCCTTCGAAAGTATTAATTTAAATTGCATTTGGAAAAGTAGATATGTATGTAGACATTTAGATATCAAAAGCATCATTTGTAAAGTGCAGTCACCGTGAATGTGGTTGTCACTGTTTTCTGTTATTATTGCTGCTTTAAAAGCTTGGAACCCGCAGAAGGAAAGCACAACAATGTGGATAATTATACCGAAAATGTTGGGGAGCGAAGCAGAGAAAAATGTAGACAATTTCTATAAAGATGGGAAGACAGCGGCGATGATGATGATGGAGCTGTGTGTCTGCATTTCTTGCCTTCTTTAACATTTCTTGCTTGCATTTCTTCTGCTGCGCTTGAACTTCAATTGAATTGTATCTTTTCGTTGGGTATTTTTTTTCTTTTCTCTCTTTCTTTGTATATATACCCCCTCTTTTCAGCTGAAAGTGATTGAAAGCCTGTTATTATGGCGGTCTGCTCCGACTGAACTAAATTTAAATTGGAATTTAGGCTAATTTCGTTCTCTCCCGTTGTGTGGGCGTGGGAAATGGGAACCAGTTCTTGTTTTATTCTTTTTTCTCGTCTCTTAAAATTGCCTCAATTTGTTGTAATTAATGTAAATACTATGGAATTAAATGTAATTTTGTTTTGTGGCTTGCAAACGTGACAAGTGGTTGACCATAATACTATAAATGCCAATGCAATTCCTCTTCCGGCCACTTCCAATAGGAAATTCTCTGCCTGGTGATCTTTCCTCTTCTAAATGACTGGCTAACCCACTTTATTGGGCACAAATGTCAATAAAAAATCTGGTTTTTAAATAACTTCTCTGCATTGAAGCATTGCCAAACACGAGGGCAACAATAAAGCTGTATAAAAAGACCATCATCATTATTATCATCATATAACAATAGAGCTGGAGCAACAATAAGCGCAAACGTGTTGCTGCATAAATGAATTCATAATGCAAAAAAAATTACAAAAAAAACCAAAAAAGGGGAAGGGTGAAAAAGCGATTGTGTAGCACATGAAAGAGGCGGCTTACATAATTGTTTATTTCCTACGAGTTTGTAAATCAACACCAGAAGCGGCTTCATTGCATTACCAATGTTTCGTGTCTGTGCTTTCACGCAGAAACATTTAGATCGGATTTATTGGCCAATTTCAGTCTGCAATTGTGCATGGCAAGTGAAATGTGTAAGATCACCTGAGCGCGTCGGAGAAAGGTGTAATTAAAATTAAATTGATATTTTGCCAAACTCTATGCTTATCAGTTCATAATGCGGTAATTTGTATGTAAATTTCGTTGTTCACCTGGATTTTCCAGGGCGGTGATTTCCTCTGCGGAAGATTTCATCCCCTTAATAATTCAATTATTGTATTTTGTTTGCTGGGAGAGTCTACGATCTGTGTACTATTGTGTGTGTGCTTGTCTGAGCAAAGCGCAATATAAAATAACGAGTAGTACGAAAATATTTTAACGCGCGCTAACTAAAAATATGCACATGACATCATCGAATAGAGGCGCTGACCGCAGAGAAGCAGACACAGCATCTCTTCTCTGTTTGTATTAAAATACGAGAACATATGTTTGCCGAGAAAATGAATACCACTCTCTGCGAATTTTTTTAAAGTATTGGCTTAGTCAAAGAAAACCAATTATAGCTTACTTAATTGTTAACTCAAATAATATTGATTAAAAAATGAACAAAGTAAAAAACAAATTTAACCCAATTTTTTTAAACATTTTAGATCATGTTTGTTATTTAATTTCCCAACAAATCATATTGTTTTATTTTTCAAATGATTGTTAGTTTTTTGGTTGCAAGCAGTTTTCGGAAAAGAAAGATTTTTACTTATTTAAATTGGATCCACAATTTTGCTTACTTTTTTTTTAATAAATAATACAAAACCACTCTTACTAATTCATATTTTGTATTTAATTTCTTTACAGGCGCATCAATATAAAAGTATTATAACCACGCAACAAATTCAATTTTAAGGTGAGTTTTTGGATATATGGCACGCCCATAAGTCAAGTGCTAAGCAAGCAAACAATAAAAAAACGTAGCAAACAAACTCGAGTCCCTTCGCTTGACTTATTTTATGTTTTATCTGCCGGTACATATTTGCTTTAGGTTTTTGCAATGATTGTGATTGAGGTCTCTCATTCGTTTTTATCGACTCTTGTTTACTGAGGAGAGGTTTGAAAAAAGTAATAGAGAGAAAAGGAAACCACACCTCTCTCAACTTTGAACTTTTTGCTTACGCCATACTTGAGCGATATATAATTATATTCCGGGTTTTTCTTTTATTTTTTGTATTGTTTGACAAACTAATTGAGAACTAATCGAGGCCGTGACCGTCAAAGGGAAATAAATGATTTGTATTCGCGGCACTCAAGCGGAGATTTCTGTCATCGGCTCTCTTCCTTTACATAGATTTTATTTTCATAATTTTATAATCAACGACTAAAGTTGATGTCATAGGGCGAGGCTTGTTGTCTTTTTGCGATAAGCTAAATGAAAAAGTTATCTCTGATGTCTGGTGATATACACATGTAGGTGTCATGTAATTGAAATGCAAATTGAGGGCTCTCTCCTGTTTTCTTTTATCTCTCAGATGTTTTTACATGCCACGCATAACTTCACCTCTAATTCAATTAAAGATGACCTTTGTTTTACTGGACTTTTTCGTACATCATACATTCTTTATGCTCTCTTTCTGCTTCGCTTGAAATTGAATTAAAAGCCACTTAAGCGTTGAGTCTGCTTGGCGTTTTGTGTACCGACTGTTTCATTTATGTCCATCTGTGTATGTGCGTAATGCTATATATCCCTCTATATCTATGTGTAATGCAAAATTTCTGATTTACCCTTCGGGCATGGTACACTGGCAGCAATAAAGGGAGCAATAAACAGATAGAGAGAGCAGAGAAGATTGGATTGCTTTGCGTTCATCTAGCAATTTTTTAAATGGGTCATTGAACCAGACTGAAGACCAACTTTGCTTTTCATTTTGTGCTTTATTTCTTGGCAATCGGGGTAAACAGTTTCCTATTAGTTTCATTTACTGGCTTTCGACGTAGCTAATAAAAACACAGTAAAAGAAGTTGAAAATATTGAAAACTTGATTTTAATGATCTTTTGTGCCGAGGGCGTTTAATGCCATTACTCTACTAGAACTCTACATTTTGTTTTTGTTGTAAATTCAACTTTTTTTTAAACGAAATGGTTTATAATTTTAATTTTAAAGACACGTTTTTTTAGATTTTGGTAATTATGGTTTGTTTTATAAATATATTAAAGGGAACAAATATAAATAGACAATTTTAATTTTAAATACTAATAATATAATAGTGCAAAAATAAGTGAAAAATAAAAAAGGGACAATAATTAAGGGATAAGGTCTTGCGACCCTTAAAATCCATCATATTCTTATGATGCCCTTTCCAAAGCCTTCAACCCTTCAATAGCCCTTCAATAATTGCTAAGCAAACCGGATGCAGACTGTACCTGCAGTGCAATTAAAAGCCCATTTTGTGCTTCAAATATGTGTTCGTATCAAGATTAAGTTACTGTCGCTAAGGACAAGTGTGTGACGTTGTGCTTTCCATCGATTATCCGGAAAACTCAAACTAACCGTAAACACGCAGCAGGCTCTGAAATTTCCACCGCCACACGATGCCGGTCGCGTGTTGGGGGTCACCAGAGTTCAACCACCAACCCACCACCTCAAACCCCAGGACAAGTGAAATGAGGCGCGATTCCTTGTGGAAATACCTGTCCTGTGACACGCCCGGGTTTTTAGTGGGCTTTCCTTATTGTCCTAACAGTGTTGATTCCTTTTTTGTTCAGCCTTATTCTTTTGTTTTGTGGCCGGCATTTTCATTACCGTCGTGTTGCCATGCAATTTTGAAAGTCGGCGGCGCCACAAAATGTCAGAATACCAGAATTGTGGCGCCAGCAATTCAGTTAGCCGGCCGGGAATGTTTCCACGCGACTCGTAAAAATATCCTGGGAGTGGAGTGGGTGGTTTTGGGTGGTGCTCGTTTCTGTTTATGTTTGAGTTTCGTTTTGAGTTAATGACAGGAAGTGACGTCATATTCTGAGGGATGAAGTTTTATTTGCTCGATTTTAAGTGCGTTGTGTGGGGTTGAGTAGGGAAGGTTTTGGGTGCGACAATGTCCTGGGTGATGTCATACTCCACAAATAAGATTATTTCAGCCCCCAATCGAGTGCTACAAGTCAAGTAAAGAATAGGCGGACGAAAATAAAAATAAAAATACTTATTACGCGGGTTGTCGTAATAAGTATTTTTACAAAAATACAATTTTTTAAACTAATTCAACAAAGTTTTTCACTTCGTCATCAAATAAAATATGAGTTCATGGTTTTTATGTACATGTTAAAAATTTAATTTCTAGCTATAATTTATTAATTTTCCACCATGGACGTCAACCAACCTCAACAACTGTGCAGATTTCAAGTTTATTTGGCGATTTTACAAACTAAATTTATGTGAATAAAAATACGAAAATTGGGCAAGCATTTTTTCTGGCCTGTGGCCAAGTGAGTCAAAGACACCGAAGCAGCACAAGGAATACAGCTTGCTTGACTCTACAAAAGGCTTTTAGCTTACATCAAGGGCAGATAAAGCAGACAAAAAGCAGAAAGCCAAAAGCAAAGCAAACAAATCATTTTCCTTTCGTTCAACTTGACCACTTGTTGTTGTCACTTAACTTTTGTTTTCCTTCAAGCACCAGCAATTGTTTTATTTATACATTTTTCCTGAGTCTTTTTTTCATCACAATGGGCGTTGGCGCCAACTTTGATGAGATTTATGTGCGGATTTTGTAATTCAAGCCACGCGACTCACACGCGACTTTCGGTAGCCGGATAGTTGTGGGTCTGGACCGAGGGAAGTAAAGTAAAACAAAATATATTTAAGTGAGAAGGGAAGAATAAAGAAGAACGAACGGGTACGAGCCAGACAAACTGGCTGCTTGTTAGCAAAACAAACAAAATTAGCAAGGGGCTTCTCCCCACGGCTAGACCTGCTACCACCTTATTAAGAGATTCTACACACGCCCAATGACTTCGAGTGAGAAAAGATAAAGTCCAAAGCAAAAGATGAAGACATTTTGATGATGACAGGTCATGGATAGTCCCGTGCACGACAGACAAACGCGTCATTGGCCTATCTAAATTTAAACGGTTATAATTATATTTTAAAGATAACAAAGGGGGAAACAAAAAGAAAACTGTTTTTCGTTAAAAAAGCGAAATACAAAAAAAGTCAACATGTTTCCGCCCGGGATCGAACCGGGGGCCTTCTGCGTGTTAGGCAGATGTGATAACCGCTACACCACGGAAACAGTTAGAAACAGGGCAGCCAAAAGCACACCAGTACTTTTCATGCCCGAGCGCTGAAGCTATGTCATTATTTTTTTTATTTTATTTGTGCTGCCTTTTGAATTAAATAAATATTATTGTGTTTTGTTTATTTACAAAAATGTATATATAACAGCAGAAGTTTTAATTAATTTCGTCTTTTATGAATTTTTTTAGTCGAAATTCCACAAGTCTAACTGCTAATATTAACAAAATTGAATGATGTTGGTCTTGCTTCTGTAAAAACAAAACTAATTCCATTGCTGTCAAATTGTTCTTTGGAAAAATTCTGAAAATATGACGGCATTTAATTTTAATGTGTATATTTTCATCCATTTTTAATTATGATTAAATTTTTTAATTCAAAGAAAATGTTAATTTTACAAAGAAAAAAAATGTACAACATGTTTCCGCCCGGGATCGAACCGGGGGCCTTCTGCGTGTTAGGCAGATGTGATAACCGCTACACCACGGAAACAGCTGAAAGCCAGGCTGCCAACATCCGAACAGTTTTTGTGCGACAGACCAGTCAGGGTAAAGTAAAAGTACATAAATACAAGAATAGAAAATGCTTCTGCATAAAACGTTCTGATACTTAAGCAAATGGGTTTAATAAAATAAATATTAAATGATATTTTAGCCACTAACAAGAAAATTTAACTAATTTATAAGTCTACTTTTTAGTTATTTATACAAAAACTATGCTCGAGGGTGTATACTTCCCACATACAAATTGAGATGATAAAAAATATATGTTTCTCTTATATTTAGAATATATATATTTTATTTTTCCTTTCTGTTTGTCAATCTTAAATAAGCTCAAGTGCTTAAGAAATTCTATTGATTTAATTTGTCTCTCAAAAAGAAAAAAAGAACTCGGATCGCAGCCGGTAGGATTCGAACCTACGCTCCCAGAGGGAATCTGATTTCGAGTCAGACGCCTTAACCACTCGGCCACGACTGCTTGTGGGGTAAGCGCGTCCAAAGTGAAATATACCAGCTGGCATCGAAGTAGCGCACCCCTCTTACTCATTCCTGGCGTGTCTGGTTAGCAATTCTGGGGATAGTCTGGTGTGAAACTTTCTACTGCGAGACTTGCAAACATTGCCAGTTCTCTTTGACAACGTTTCGCAGATTAAAATGTATATATTTTCACGGTGTGCGCGTCATCCCATTGATCCATATCGTCAATTTTATACTAACAGTACTTTAAGTATTCAGTCGGTGGTTTATGATTTGTTAAAAATTATTTGTAAAAATATTCGAAAACTTATTAGGGCAACCTTGAAACGAACACTTAATTTTTGTGTGTTTATAAAAATGATGTACTTTTTATGACCTCACAATTTTTTTTTAGGTAAGCAAAACGTAATTGCAAGCAGTTGCCGGAATAAATCTCTCGAGATTTAGAATTTTCTTCGAATGAATGAATGTACAGATTTACATTTTTCATTTGCATTTTAGAGTAAGTGACAGGCTACAATTATTATTATTTACACTTGTCGCTGGTTTATTGCACTCGTTTTTGTTACTATTCTCACTTTTATCGTTGTCGTCGACATATGGGAGCGGTCTTTTCATGATTTTTTTGAGGCTTTGAGAAATCTTTCCACATTGATCATCATCATTGGATCTAGCTTTATGCCCCACTGACTGAGTGAGTGACTTGTTGCATTATTAAAACTGAATGGAATCATTTGCGAGCGACCTTATTGCCTGCCGCTCTTACATCTCGCACTTAAGGCGGTGGGACAGCTGTCTGGCCTGGACTCGATGGAGTGGAAGATTACGTAAGATCTCTTCCGTTGCGCGATAATTGAATACTTGGGAAATTTAATTAACGCCAGCATATGTGTGAACACCATATATAGAGGGTGTTCGGTTCTCTGGGTCAATTGACTGAGCTGCTAATTTGAGTAAAAAACAAGAGAGAACGCTATAGTCGGGTGCCCCGACTATCAGATACCCGTTACTCAGGTAAAGGGAGTGCGAGGGAGATGGAGATAGAAACTTTGATCACGCATAACTTTTTAACGAATGGTTCGATTTGAAAAATTTCTTCTACATTTCGATAGGTATTGATAAACACAATAAAACTGCATTTTTACTTTTCCGAAATATTTAAATTTTTAAAATCGTATATAAGCGATTGTGGGCGTTTAAGGGGGCGTGGCACCTTTTTGAAACAAACTTGCGCTGCGTAGGAACTCCTAGAATCTGCATGCAAAATGCCAATCTTCTAGCTTTTATAGTTTCCGAGATCTCAGCGTTCATACGGACGGACAGACAGACAGACGGACAGACGGACAGACGGACATGGCTATATCGACTCGGCTAGTGACCCTGATCAAGAATATATATACTTTATAGGGTCGGAAACGCTTCCTTCTAGCTGTTACATACTTTTTACTCTACGAGTAACGGATATAAATATTTGTTGGCTAAGAGCTTAATAAAGAATTCAAATTTATGGCCAAATATGTAACGCAATAAACTCAATAACTCAACTAAATGTAGAATCTTTAAAAAACATTTACAATACTCTGCTTACGGTTGAAGTAATTGCGGATAGATTTATTTGCTTATTTATTCCGAGCTTTTGATGCTGCTCAAGAAAATATATTTCCTACAATTTTTTCTAAATTATGCGGTTTTACTAATTAAATAAAATACATGTGAATTTTTAGATCCGATTCAGTCTCTATTTTCCCCATTAATAATAAACACAGGTAAATTGTTTGTTTAGAGATAATTGATTAATATTTCTGTTATCTTGGCCAGAACTTGCCTAATTATCATGCTGTTAAGTTGGGTATTCTGCAGCTAGGTTTCTGTTATCGGCCTTGCCTTCATAACATTCTTAACATTCTATATGTTTATATATGTATATATTCTCGGTTTGCCGGCTTTGAAACCGGCACACTTTAACCATTGAAAGACATGGGTGTGTCCCGCGCCAAACAAGTGTGATGTAATTGCATAATGTCAACAACAATTGTCTGACGCTGACGCGACGGTGGCGACGATGATGGCGTCGCTGTGGCGTTAGCTGCTCCTAAATTTAATTGTTGTCTTCCGTACAAAAAGGTCAGAAGGAAAGAGCCCAGAGAGAGAGTAATATGGAGCGGTTGTCTGGCATTGCCAAAGTTCAATAAACCAAATGCTGTGCAGGCTTAAACAGAGTTAACAAATGGCTTTAGTCCATTGACACTCTTGACTATATTCGGTAACCAGTTGCCATTTTATTTGGGTATTTGCGGCAATGTATCGGATTGAATACTTGGTTTTAAATAAAGTTTCGTTATGTATTTGTATTTTTTCACGGAGTAAACCAGAAATCTTATGCACCAATTTGAAAATAATTACTTAATTTAAGGTATTTTTGACCATATTGAGTTCGTTTAATATGATTGCAATGCGTGAGAAATAAAATTCTGTCCAGAAGAACTCTTCTTATTTTTCCAACCTTTGGCCACCTACGCAACTTTTAACTTCATTTGGAGGAGTCTGAATCGACCCACGCTGGAAAACTCTTTGGCTCGTTAAGTTTATTCAACGCCCACGCATACACAACTCCCTAGCTCGTCTGCATCTTTTTTGTAGTCACTTAAAAACCGTTTATTCAGCATTATTTTGTTTTATTTAAAGCAAAACTGAAAACTTCTGCCGCCGCCCACGCACTTTGAGTTGAGGTGAGGTGATGTTGGCAACAAAGTTCAATTACCTCCGCATCACGATATTGTTGTTAAGAGCAAACTAAAATATGCGGCACGCGTTGCAATACGTCATAATTAGCAAATGGCAAAATCAGCAGCAAATAAAGCCATTGGCAATGCACTTTTGAAATGCAATTGCATTGTGCCTTCCTTTTTGTGAGCATGTTCTCCCTGAGCTCATAAGCCGACTACAAAAGGGGCCGCCCACGAATGGGGTTATACCTTACATAGAAAGAATGATTCATTATGGCACTAAAATGTATTTAAATTAAATACAAATGTTGATTATAACGGTGTATTAATATTGTAAAAGCAATGCTAAAGGCATGTTGAATTTAAACTTTGAACACTACTTTTAATTAAACGGAATTTTAGTCTGTGCTCTTTTTGGCCCTCACTTATTTTTTTCTCATTGCAATTTGTGCTTTTAATTGGGGAAGAACTAAGGAAATGCTGGTGGGTGTAGTTGTAAAAAATCGAGTCAGCATAATCCACATTAATTATGGTTTATTGTTTCTTTAAGTGTGTCATGTTGGAATCGAGTAAAGTCGGTTTGTTTTGAGCTGTTTCGGGTTGCAATTTTGGCTGAGCCAAGAAATTGTTTTTCGATTTGTTATCTCAGCCGCGCGATTCGTTGATGACATTATTTCTTTAGTGTTTATTCGCATGCTGATTGTTTACGAGAATTTGAAGGTTAAAATTCGTGGTATTCGAACGCACCACGCCTAAAGATTTAAAGAGCAAAACACATTTTTGTTTATTTAGCTTGCTCTCTTTTTCGTTTGGGACCAAGATAGCTAGCTCCTTCTATTCGTTTTGATTTTCGAGGCATCAATTTTGGGTTTCTTAAAAAGCCAAATGGATCTTAAAATAGTTTTCACCGATTCCGTTTTTGCTGTCGCTTCAGCACGTGGGTATGGGAAAAAATACGGATGGTACATATGCATTTTCCCGAGAGTTTTCCCCCTAAAATTGAGAATTTATTTTGGCCAAAATTAGACATTAACTAAAGTGGAAATATGCGGCAGGCCATTCAGTCACCCCTCCACTTTCTCTGCTTTCCCCCAAACACTTAATTTTGACATTCACAGGGAATTCTGTCAGTTTTCCACTCTCTGAGAGACTCTCTTACTTGGGTGGTTGCACTGCACTCTCTCTTCCACTCTCTATCTCTCTTGTTTGCCACCCCCTTTTCCTAGCTGCCCTGCAGTTTTTAAGGTCAGTCGAAAATTTTCCAGCTGAGCGTTAAGTTGAAGAAGCACTTTGCCTAAATATAAAAAACCGTCCCCTTCATTTAATTGCAGCATTTTAACAGAAGTAAAAGGAAAATAAATCATGACTGATGTTGAGCAACCGCCACAAAATGGCATAGATCCCACTGCCGGCGAGGAGGATGACAACAAAGCACGTCCCGCGGATATTGAACAGGTAAGTTCAGCCATCGAAGCCTCAACTGGATAACCACCCCTCACTCGCTTCCTTTTTTTTTCACTTTCCCCTCCCTTAGGATATGCGCGAAATGGAGCGTCGCAAGCGGGTCGAGGCCATAATGGGCTCGAAACTGTTCCGCGAGGAGCTGGAGCGGATCGTGGACTCGGCCCGCGATGGCGGAGCTGGCGCCAGTGGCATCCTGCAGCAGCTGTCGGACATTGTGGGCGTGCCGGTGTCGCGGGTGGGCAGTGTCTTTAAGAGCAGCAACTGCATGGTGCCCATCAATGATATACGCGGCGTCGAGTCGATGGGATATGCCAAGGGCGAGAAGATACTCCGGTGCAAGCTGGCCGCCACATTCCGTCTACTCGATCTGTACGGCTGGACCCAGGGTCTGGGGGCACAGATCACTGCCCGACTTAAGGTCGACCAGGAGTATTTCCTGGTCAATCCCTACGGCCTGCTCTACCACGAGATCACTGCCTCGGCGCTGAATAAGGTGGATATGCAAGGCCAGATCGTGGAGCAGGGCACCACAAACTTCGGCGGAAACAAGAGCCGTAAGTTAAGATGTTTAAAATCCACCCCCTCAAATTAAGAAAAAAACGATTGATTAAAAGTTTTATGGAATTTTTCAAATTTTAATTTTAGACTAAGCATTTTATGTAAAAGATGGAGAATATTATTATTATTTATTTTTCTGAAAAGTCTACTATTAAGTTTTCTAACTTATAACTATTGTTTTTTTTTGCAGACTTTGTCCTCCACTCAGTGGTACATGCTGCCCGTCCAGACATCCGCTGCGCCATCTATATCGGCTGCAGTCCGGTTGTGGCCATTTCCTCCCTGAAAACTGGTTTGCTGCCGCTGACCAAGGATACTTGTGTGCTGGGCGAGATCACCACACACACTTACACTGGCCTGTTCGACGAGGAAGAGCGCAACCGTTTGGTCCGAAGCCTCGGTCCCAACTCCAAGGTCATTCTGTTGTCCAACCACGGTGCCCTGTGCTGTGGCGAGACCATCGAGGAGGCCTTCTTCGCCGCCTGTCACATTGTGCAGGCGTGCGAGACCCAACTGAAGCTGCTGCCCGTCGGTTTGGATAACTTGGTGCTGATTCCGGAGGAGTCGCGAAAGGCCATCTACGAGCAGTCGCGCCGGCCGCCAGAGGATCTGGAGAAAAAGTTTGCCGCCGTCACGGCAGGCGAGGATGGTGCTGCCGCTCCTGAGAAGGAAGCCGAAGCACCCGTGCCCAGAGTGGGCAGTCCGCCCAAGTGGCGTGTGGGTGGTGCTGAGTTTGAGGCATTGATGCGCATGCTGGACAATGCTGGCTACCGCACTGGGTACATCTACCGCCATCCGCTGATCAAATCGGATCCTCCGAAGCCCAAGAACGATGTGGAACTACCGCCAGCCGTTTCATCGCTGGGCTATCTGCTTGAGGAGGAGGAGCTTTTCCGTCAAGGGTACGTTAATTAGCTGAGTTTTAACCTTTGAATTTAACTAATAATTGCATCCCATAATAGAATCTGGAAGAAGGGAGATCTGCGCAAGGGCGGCGATCGCAGTCGGTGGCTCAACTCGCCCAACGTTTACCAAAAGGTCGAGGTTCTGGAGACCGGCACTCCGGATCCCAAGAAGATTACAAAGGTAGAAATCATTACTTTCGAAGATATGAAGCAAACCAAAACCACCAGCCTTAAGGAGATTGAGGGAAAATAGTTGAATTTGGTGGATATCGCATCCCTCAGCTCTTTCGAGACATTCCACTTGCTATTCTCCCATATATGATTTACATTTCGTTAGCACTCAGTTTTAGTTCCAACTTTGCTACTAAGCTGCAACTATATTCACGCATAAAATTTCTTAGCGTTTAAGTAAATTAAAGAATCAATATACAAAACCTATATATTTATATACTTTGGAAATATAAATTGAACTCGTGCTAAACCAAAATTATTTTACATGCTTTGCTAGCAAGCAAACGAATACTGTAATGTGCATTAATCAAATAAATAAAATAATCAAAACAAACGACTTTTGCATAGATGATTTTGTGCCTCTTTTAGGGATTTTGCTGCCTCAAAAACAAGTCGATAACTCTGAAACAATGCAAAGAAAGAGAAAGAAATTTTCTAAAAATACTAATCACTACTTAATCAATAAAACAGCATATTTTATTTCACTTAATATCATTGATTTCATTTTTAACCGATTTAATTTTCGTTCTTAATTTTTCTTTGCATGTTTTATGGTTTTCTTTTATTCTTTTTGTGATTGATTCATTGTTTTCTAAGGCACAAAATCATTTATGCTTGTTTTCAGTTGATTTATGTTTATTTGATCATTGCATATAAAAATAATATCTAAGGGTATTAGTGGGCTAGACTTGCCCATTAATTATGAAGAAGAATCAGCTTGCAATGGAATGTTAAAAACTAACTCTAATTTTAAGACAAAAGTAAATGTAATCAAACTAGATGACTTAAATGTGTAAAAGAAATGTTCTACATGTTGAATGGGAATGTTTATTCTTAAGAGATTTCCATTTTAATAAGAATCCTGAGTATTCTCCCCACATTAAAAACAAATTTCTTTCTCTTTCTTTTCTATTTGCATTGCCCCCACCCTCCACACAAAAAACATAATTTACGATTTAAAAACCAAAACTCATAGTGGGTTGCTGAGGGTTCCCCCACCCATTCAACGCCAGTGAGGATAGAAGATCCGCTCCAGTTTGTGCCTGCAGGAACTAATCCAAGAGAGTTCAAGCGAGTCCAGCAACTAGTCAGTATTTAATACACTTGATCTCAAATGAATTTAATTAATAACTGGGGGCTAATTAAAACAGATTAAGGACAATCGTCGGGCGGATAAGATTTCGGCCGGACCACAGTCGCATATTTTGGAGGGCGTCACATGGGACGAGGCGAGCCGACTCAAGGATGCAACGGTCTCGCAGGCCGGCGACCATGTCGTCATGATGGGTGCCGCTTCTAAGGGAATCATCCAGCGCGGATTCCAGCACAATGCCACGGTGTACAAGGCCCCGTATGCCAAAAATCCATTTGACAATGTTACGGACGATGAACTCAATGAGTACAAGCGCACGGTGGAGCGCAAAAAGAAATCAGTGCATGGCGAATGTAAGTGGAAAGTAACATAACTATTGCGAATATTTTATAACATGTTTAACTACTTTATGCAGACACTGACACAGATTTTTCGGAATCAGAGGCGGTCCTGCAGGCGGGGACAAAGAAATACCCTCAAAGCGAACCAGAGACCGGTATGTCCACTATTTACAAACTATTCGGGGTTCCAGCAACTAATATGTATCTTCTATTTTAGAGCACCAGGTCATTGAGATCCAAACACAACAAGCGCCAGTCCCAAGGCAGGCAGAAGTCGTGCTGAGCGATGGTAAGTCCATTTGTGTGCTTCGTATTGTACTTTTTATTGTATTTATCTACGGTTCAAATTACTTCGATCACACGCACTCTAAAACATTTCAAATACACATGTCCAAGAGTTATGTCTATTCCCAGTCATCCTGTGATCCAATTTTAAAAGATTTTATTCTGTTTTTCTTTTGTTATTCTCCATTGTTATCCATTTTGACCCATTTTTATTTTTTGTTTACTTGTTTTTGTTTATATTTGATTTATAATTTTATGGGTAACTTTAGTATTGAAAATTTTGCCATTTTTATTAAATATTTTAAGTAGTATTATTTCCATTGTAATATTATTTCCATTGTAGTATTATTTCCTAAGTTGATATACTTATTTAATTGGAATCCTAACCTTTAATAATAACATTTTTATGCCATTTTCCCTTTTTTTTGTTTATTTTATTTGCCGTACTTTCGCATACTAAAATTACCAATACACACGCCAAAACTACACACATTTCAATGGATACCAACACACCAATTACTTAATGTAGTCAACAAAAAAATTCTTGTAGCAATTGATACCGTCACAACTTCATTTTTGTGAGATCTACAAAATTGTTTATCCTTCCTATTGCTAAACATTTCCCTTTTTTACTGTCGTATCACAGTTTTATTTTGTTATTCAGTTATATAAAATTAGATTATTATTATTATTGTGCAATGCAATTCAACCTTATCCAATACTTCCAAGGGACCAACTGTTTTACGCCGTGTATCAAATGATTTTTAATTTCAACAACCAACAGTACGACAGCACAGCAACCAAAACTGCTACAACAAAAAATTGTTATTATAGTAAAGGCTGCAGTTGTAGTTATTCCTTGGTTTTACAAAATGGTTTAATTTTCCGAATTTGGCAATTTGTAAATCAAAATTTTAACTTTCTATTATTTTACATAGGAAGAAACCCCAAAACCAAATAAATTGGCAGCTTGAAGAGCAAAAATTCCAAATATATTTAGTTAGCATTCATTAAAAAGCGAAGTGTGTGTAGGTCCACAATAAAATAAACAAGAAATGTATAATAAAACGAAAGACCAGCAATCAACAACAAGAAGCAACCGAAGCTCTCAACAGAACACAAAATTCTACTTCTACTACCACTACTACTACATACTACATTTTCTACTACTACTTCTGCGGCTGCTGCGCTCTATAACACAAAAATAAACAAAATAAATAATAAGCAGTTTAAAAAGAAACCCCTTTTGAGTTGGAGGTGAGTGCAGCCCCAAAGGTTTAGTGTGTAGTAAAAAAAAAATTCCAACTAAAAAATCAAGACAATAGTTTATAGAAAAAATGTTCAGCATAACATAAACATAAACCACCTGCACACTAAACCCCATTCAACATGTCATGTTTAACTGTTGCCAAATGCTATTAGCTGATTCACATTATTCGCTGTTGGCAGAGAATTTAAGCCTGCTGATAATTTTCGTTGGAATATCTCGCGTGTTATTTTGTTTCTCTTTTTAATTTTTAACTGCAGCTGTTTTCTGTTGATTGCTTCCTTAGTTGCCTAGCCAGCTACATTAGCCGAAAACTAACACATTTCTATACATTTCAAGCATGCTTAATCGATACTAAAATCTGAATCTCTTGCAACACTACGTATTACTAGTTTAAGACACACAATTACGTCTGTTTCACATTTGTTTAGCGTTCTACTTACGGACATTTTTCGCCGAATATGATTTTATAATTTTATTTCTCAATACTATTTTAGCCACACTTAGTTTTATAAACGGCGAACGCTCTCACACAGCCACAAATCGCAAGCCGCCAACTGGCCGAGGTAACGAACAAGACCCGATTGAAAGATACCCCTTACTTCTAGCACCCTTTAATGTACTCAGGCTGAACGCCCACTGTATATAACTTTTGAAATAATACTTGTTATTCGGTGTATATTTACAATATAACCTCCATATAATCCAATTGCCCCTGACAGATCGTTGTTTATGATGTATTATTTTTTTATATAACCCCCATATAATCCACAAGTCCATGGCAATTAATTGTTGCACTAAAACTAAACCCTAGCTATAGTTTGGTTGATAATCATATCGAAACTATATAAATAATTCATTGCGGTTAAGTTCATTACATTGGTTTTGGGGTAAATATAAAAGATCCTTTCTGGGTTAATTTTTGATCTAAATCCGAAACCATTACCAAATTACCTTGAACTGGATTTGAAAAGTCTTCCATTTCTAGCTATACACATTTCGTTATTCCTCTTAATTCAATAGTGATTTTTTTTAGGTCTCTGACTTCTAGAAATTTGATATTTCGAAATTCAATTGGAAGATTGAATCGATTGTTTTTCAGATTTATGGATATGTATTTCAGTACGTATTGCCTTTATGTATGTATTTCGAGTGCCGCACTGTCCAAGATGCTGGCTCCGGACTTTTCTCTATATTGTGACAAATACTTACTGACCATTTTCGGCCTTTTCATCTTCCCACACCTTAAAATCGCTTTGACTAGGCGATAATAACAATAACGAATCTCAAGTAGATGAAGAAGACAAGGAGAACCAGCTTTACGGCCGGAATAGAAACTTGTCCGGAAACAGCAGATGCCGCCGGGACCTGTTTCCGTCTATAGGCGAGGATCCTATTCTGCCGTCGGAGGAGCTATATTCCTATGTTTATGCGACAGCTGCCTCCTTGGGCCAGTGCATCCAACCACAGGTGTGCTCCGCTTTATTGCGGGCTCTCCATTGTGAACAGTTGGACTATTTGGCCAGTTGTTATCGTGGCGGAGCTGGACACTCGAATGCCACCACCTCCAGTACATGCACTATAACTAGCGCCACGGCTTCTTCCAACGCCTCACGTCGTCCGCTGCAGCAGGCGAATTTGATACAACATCCCCCCTACCGCACTGGTTCCCATTTCGGGTTCAATTCGCCACGCCATCAACCACGCACTGAGCACAAGCATATGCCCAGGGAGCGGGAGCAACCGGCCTTGGGCTACCGTCCTATGCAGCGAGGCATCAGTTACGAAGAGATCTTCGCCACACCTCGCTACGAGCAGTTGTGCCAGGCGTGCTTTGACAAACTGCTGCGTCTCAAGCCGGAGCTGCGTAAGATTGGAGGCGCCACGGCTGCAAGTAATTGCGTCGATGAGCTGACTAGTAATGGGAGCACCCCCTTGCAGGGACGACAACTGTCAACACTGCCTGAGTTATCCAATAATTTTGGAAATATGTTGATGTTGCCCGAATTTTTGAGGACCCAACGGAATGCCTGCACCCAGACCCAAGGGTGCTCCGCTTCATCTTCCACCACCAATTTCCTTAGTCAAATCGAAAAGTTTAACTTCTCGGAAGAGTCAACGAATGCTAATTATTCTCCAGGTCCAATGAACAGCGATCTTAGCATTATGGGATTGGTTGTAGAGCAGGCAACATCCAGTGCTGGAGCGAGTGCCACAAGTGCAGCTCCCCAAAGGACTTACCATGCGGAACAAGCAGACATTACCGAAGTGTGGAGCTTTGGTCGATGGTTGGAACCCCAAGATAATATAATAGTGCGTAATGCAGATCCGTTTCTACAACAGCCGCTGACCGAGCATCGCATCACTTTGGAAATAACGCAACATTTTCCGACTAGCGATCGAAATGTAGAAGAGCAGGTCGACCGCCAATTGATGTCTCGCGAAGAGCGCCAGCGTCGCAAGTCTGAGTTCCAAGAGCTCTGGCAAGATCATGTCGAATACTTTGGGGCCAAGGAGCAAATGCAGCAGGAGCAGCAGTCACTTGAAAGTATGACAACGGATGAGCAAGAAGCCATGTCTCTAAGAACTAATGATTGTATAGGCCAGAATCCGGCGTTGATACAAGACGACCCAAAGGAAACTGAGACGCAAGGCGAAGGCCATAATGAGCTCCCTGATGATATCCAAGATGAAACCCTGACTGAGCCGAGCGATGAGCTCCCGAAAATTCTGCAGAAGTTTGAGGAAAGTCTTACCTTAGCTGGTGAAAACCTAGAAAAACTAGTGGCTACCACCAAGAAACTGCAGGCACTCGACACCGATACATCAGCCGTGACTTCAAGCAGTTCCCCTGTTGAAAGAGACCAAGTCGAAATTAGTTCTCTGTTTCGCTCGATTAGCTTGGAGAACATACCCAACGCCGATGACACTGTGTCTATTCAGGAACCCGACGTTGCTGGGTCCACAAACTCCAGTAACAGTCATTATAGTGAAGAGGAGACCCTCCAATCTATACCCATCAATTTGGAGCAGGAGGAGAAACGCGACGACGAAAAGCCTGTGACTCCCACTTTAACGGAACCTGAGGAGTCCACTGATAAGGAGAAAGAGCTTGACGACGAGAAAGACATCGATGAGAATGATTTACAAGTAAAGGCAGATGAGAATGATTTAGAAGTAATGGCGGTGGAGGAGCTCCAAGAGATTACTGCCGAGACTCCGGAAGCCCGTAACCTAGAGCCCGACAATCAGTATTTCACGCCATTGGAGCGTGAGGTTCTCCAGCGCATCGAGGACGACAAACTTGATGAGAGTGAGCCAATTTTCGGGAAGATTGATCATAGTATTCGTAACAAGATGACGCCCAAGAAGCTGCAAGACTTGGTCAGCGAGGAGATCTTTCGCACTCGCACACTCATCTATCCTAATCCAAGCACGCCGATGGCGAAAGCTGCACCAGTCGACACCACTTTGTCTCCGAGTGGCTCTTCTCTGTCTGCTCATAACATTAGTGCTCCCTGCAGTTCAATGGCACATGCTCACCTTATTATCCGACCCACGCCTCGTATGTCGCGATCGTGGTCGGAGGACCCGGAAAGGGATGAGGAGGATCAAGAGAAGAACAATCAGAACGAACAGGGAATGATTGAAGAAGAGACCCCTCTGGACCGGATTATTTCCTCAACAACTTTTGTGTGCCGTAGTAGTCCGCGCAGAAAGCGCAACTTTATCCAGGAGAACATTCGCAATGCTAGCAGACCGCGAAGTGCCGCCGGTTCGGTCAAAAAGCATAGGAGCAACATAGTCACAAGTCCTAGAACCATATCGAGTCCCTCCTCTGTGTGTGCCTTTCAGTGTGGCCAGCGGGATAGTGGCGCCCGTCTCTGGGTTTCCTTGCCAACGCCTCCTCGAGGAGCATCTGCTCAAAAGCGGGGAAACTCGACGAGTCCTGCGCGGGCCTTGTACTCCGTACGCGGTACTCTCTCCTCGCCATTCGCCAAACGTCGCAAGCCCCTGGTTAATCTTCCACCTTTGCGTCGGCCTCAACATAGGGTCAATCTATCGCAGAATCCCGAGCTAAACTCGTCTAATGTATCCTTACATCGAACTCTGTCAAACAGCACGTTCTTTGTGCCCAGTGGAGAACATGGAGATTCGGATAACATCTCAACTAGCACCTTTCAGATGGACGGAAGTCAGGAGGAACAGGAGCGGGAGGACGAAGGATGTCCAAGGGAATCCCCGGCAGCGCATGATAAAGCTAATGCCACTAACAGCTCCTTGTACTACAGCGCAAACGACATCACGCGAGAGGAGACAGAATCTTCACAGACAAGCGCAGAGGCAACGGAAGAGGATCAAAGGCCTTTTTTGCCGCAGAGCTCTACTGTCACCGTTTATGAGAGTTCGTCTGATAAGTCTGTGCATATTCCGATGATAACTAACTATGAAGACTTATCCTCGCAGAAAAACGAGATGGTACCCACAACGGCAGATACCCATGTATGCATCCAGTCCCTGGAAGTAACTGATCCGGAAATCTCCCGCCAACTCGAAGATGAAGAATTTTTGGTAGAACTCACACGACTAACAGCTGGATCGGACCGCCAGCAAACTTCTAAGAGTACCATAGAAAGTGACCATCTCAAAGAAGAGAAATCTGAACCAGAACAGAAGTCAGAGAATATTAGCAGCAGGTGCGAAAATGTCCTTTCCTCAGCAATCGAATTGAATGGAACGGAGAAAAAGAACGATGAATATGACAGTAGCAGTGATTACGACGGTGAGAAACTTATTCGTGTGGAAAAGGCCTTTGATGATAAGGATATAGCTATTAACGACGACGAACCCTCTACCTCAAAAGCTTCAGTGACTAGAAACCGCAGCACCGGCGGGGCCGAAACGAACCAGTATTCCTCTATTAAAGATGAGGATGAGGTTACCCTGGACACAGTTTGCTCAGTGCGTGGTTTGGAGATGTACGTGCGGGAGGTGGAGCCAAAAATACATGAGAATTTGTCACATGGAGAAGTTAAAGTTGGATATTTGTCAGAGTCAACGGTCGCGGACGAATTTATAGAGTCGGGGGGATTAATTGAACTTGGGTCGGTAAAGGAAGATGATAAAGTTTGTGTTCCAGAGTCAGTAAAACCAGAGATATATCAGGAATCTACTGAAACCGAATGAAGAAAAGAATAATAGAAAACATCAGCTTTGGAAGTTTTTAAAGATTTTTTTTATATTTTATATTTGCTTATGAATTTAACACTGCTTGTCATGAACTTTTATTTGATCTTTTATATTGAAATTTAACATTATTCGCCTTCATTTATTTTCAACACATATTTTGTAATGTAATGTATTTAAAAGGACAGAGGAAATAAAAGTTTAAATATTCTATATGTAATCTTTTACTTTAAGCCTGTAGTTTATCTTAACTAACTTTTTACGGTTAAAGGTTTATTATTTTAAAGAAAGGAAAAACAATGTTTTGTATCTTGTGTTTATGTTAACTTTTAAATTTTAAATTATTACTTTTAAATTATTTTATAGTTACAGCGACTTCTGGTAAAGGAAACGTAAATTTATATATTGTAATCTTTATAAAATATTGTCGGTTGAAATGTAATTTATTATGTTAAGTGTTAGCAGGTAATATTCCCTCCCAATGTTGTGTGTAAGTTGTCTTATGTCAAGTGTGTACATCCCGTCGAGCGGTCCTTGTGCCCAGAATCATACTTAACAGTTTTTAACAACGCACATCCACGCCGCCATCGGATTCCCTTATCATTTTTAGACCTTCTCTCTTACCTGGCTCAAAAGTATGCGTTCCTATATTCACCTGGGCAATACATGAACGCTTACATGAAAATGGGACCATTTGACCAGCAGGTTTATGTTATCCACAAGGTCGAACCTGTCAGCAAGCACAACTATCCGCCAGTTCACGATGGCAATATGAGCTTCCAGCTAAACGAGAGCATAACTGGATTTGTTAGCAATGAATCGGGCGTGGTTAGTAGCACCCCCGTCCGAGCTGCCATGGCATCTGTTTCATTGCCGGAAGAGAGGAATCATTCCACGTCGGGCTTTACACCCTATCGCACCATCTCCCACTTTGGCTTCAATTGTCCGCTGATCACGTCGCCAACCATTCTGCTGCATCCGGAACACCAGTCCATTTGGCAGAAGGTGGCAGAGCAGCGCGAAAAGGTGGTGTCATTCATCGATCTAACGACATTGAGCTTGGATAACCGCAAGCTGCTTAATGTGGTGACGGCGGGGCAGCCAACGCAGTCTCAATCCCAGTCCCAATCCTTTGTCTCTGAGAAGCACATCCAACTGGAAATTACGCCTCCAAGGCGGAAACAGCGGGTCTACAGCGCCACTACCAGCAGTGGTCACAGCTTGGATGACGGTCTGGACGAGCTGGACTCCTTGATGAGTGGCCTGGCCATCTCTTCGTCTCGCAGACAGGAGCAGGATAGCGGTCTGTACCGCAGCTACACGTTCCTGCCCAGCAACCATGCCCTACCCGAGGATGCGGATGCCAATGACAGCGAACAGGCGGATCGGGAGCGGCCCGAGGCCGAGCAGGAGGAAGTTTTTCGACGCACTGGAGACAGTGGCCTCGGCGATTCGACGGGCAGGCGTCCGCGACTGGCCACCACCAGCAATGATTCGTCCACCCAGGAAGCCGAGGCATACACCCAGGGAAAGCACGTCAAGTTGACCCTAAGCAGCTCGCCCACACCCACAACCACGACCACACAATCGCCGGCAACCATCGAGATCCTGATCAACGTGTCGCTGCGCAATGCCGAGTGCGTCCAAACGGTCCAGACGCACGAGCAGGAGTTTCGGGCCAAGTTGGAGCGGGTGATCGACGAGGAGATCCACTACATCTCGCAGCACCTTGCTTACAAGCAGCGGCAGGCGGAGATGCTCCAACAGCAGGCGACAACGCGGGCTCCTCTGGCCATGCCCCCTTCAACGACAATGCCTCCTCCTCCTCCGCCGCCTTCTTCGTCATCCTTGGTGCAGCGCAGCAATTCGGCTCCGGAGCTGTGCCACACCTATAGCTATGTGGCCGTGGCCATGGCCGAATCCGATATGGCGACCAAACAAGATCAAGCCTCACCGCAATTGCCAGCGGAGGGGGAGCCATTGAATGATATACTCAGCAGCCTGGAGAAGGAACTGGAGCGACTGTTGAACAGCGTGGTGAAAGCGCACATGCTGCACAACAAGGCCATTATTCACGAATGCCGGGCTCGCATCTCCCAGTTGGCCGATGGATTTGCAACATCCTAAATTTACTCCAAATTTGTTACATAATTTAAATCTTTACTTTTGTTACTTTATTTATAAATCAACAAGAATTAATAGATTGTATAATACAACTAAATTATGTAAGGCTAGTAATCTAAGTAACTGCTGCATTTTTAGTTCTTTGTTCTCTTAATTAAAAATGTTAAGAAAGTAACTTAAGTACCAAACGGAAATGCAAAGTTCACTGTTAAGAACCTGAAACTCCATCTACAGTTGTAAATTTAAATTCTTTGTGAATTCCTAACTCTTTCATTTTAATTTTTGTCGAATCTTCATTTTTGTTTAATATTTTTATAATTTAAATATAATAAAAATGGTTTTCATTATGAAACTGTCATAAGCCTTAAGTTAAAACTCTTATATCCGCCTATCATCAGTTCAGTTAAGTTTAATATGTTTACAGGTAACATATTTTCATTTATTATTTATGTTTTATGTTTTGTGCATGTATGCTTGCTTATTATTATTATTGCTCGTACTGCTGCATGTCCTTGTGTTTGATTTCCCAATCCTGAACGCCTTATATGTACTCATACGCCCTCATCTCCCGAAACATTTAATACATATACATGTTTAGTTAGATTCTTAATTGTGCGTGTCTCAGAAGGTGAAAGTAATTACGAAAATAATATCGAATATTATGTGTGCGTCCACTGAGTTACATTTGTAGGAAACGAAATCCATTTTACGCTGCTGTACACTTTATTAATGTTGTATTTTTTGATTCCTTTGCAACAGGTGAAAACGTACAAAATGGCGATCATTCAGAGGCACACTTGAGCACCTTCTCCCAGAGCAGTAAAGAGGTAAGTACATCTGATCAGATTTCAGATCAGCGATCATTTGAACTCACAAGCGGTAAGCTGGTTTACATCGAGCCAGGAACCGCTGCATCGTGTACAACCAGCTTTCACAACATCATGCATTTAGCTAACCTCATTATATTTACTAACCGATGCGCAACCGATATTCTCACTGCAAATTTCTATTACGGTTCCAGGATGTCTCCACGGACGGATCACCCAAGAAAGACAAGAAGAAGAAGAAGGGCCTGCGCACACCGTCGTTTTTGAAAAAGAAGAAGGAGAAGAAGAAGGCCGAGGCCTAAGCTGAGATGCGGGATCAGTAGGAGTAGCAATCTTGACACACTCCCACCATCAGCGGGAACCGAGGCAACTAACGACAATGAAACCACGATAAAAAGAAAACTGTAGCCAGATCAGCAAAAGAAGCATTATATAAGAGAGAGAGGCCTAAATAAGCAACAAATGAGCAGCTAAAATCGATTAAGATGCATCCAAGAGGATACCCCGAAGGCAACCCCTCGCCCAATTCGCATTCACAGCTTATATCTATTATAATATAATTCTTATTTTTAATTAATACGATGGCCACGGCACCCGAACAGCAACGCAATCCCCACAATTTGTATGATAACGAGAAGGAGTTCGCCAATTTACACGCAATATCCGATATGCCACATTGTTCTATACGAGAAACATGCAAAAATCTTCTAGATGTATTAGCTTTTAACAACAAACTACGTAAACACTTTACATAGTAAAACAAATGAACAGAAGAAAAGGGTCAAAATTCCCTGGCAGCTATGTGCTACTCTGGAACGAGCTAAGATTTGTTTAAAACAAAGGCAAACTTTTGTCTTTAGACACATACAAGCGTGGTACATGCGTATGTACACATAATACTTAAATGCAATATTTTTTATAAATGCAATAAAATCGATGACAACAACCACAATTTGATATTCTTTGCATGTGTGTGTCCTGTCAATTTGCTTTTTATGTTTTGTGTTCTCTTGTTTTGTTTTAAAATCCCGGCAGCCACACTTTGCACACAAACGAATGAATAAATATGTATACAACATGCAGCTATTGTATTAGTTTTTTATATGAATAATTATATATTTTTATGTACGTAAAACTGTTTATACATACATATACATATATATATTTATAAAAACCAATAAATTATGAAGAAAACAACAATTCAAAAACACACAGCGCATTAAGTCATGCGATTAATTAGGGGAAAGCAGAAACACAATCACAGAGAAAAATGTGGAAAATCACATGAATTATCACTAAGATTCAAATTTCAGCATTTCTTTTGTAAGTAGATGTGCTCGATTTGAAAGCGCTGCCCGTCTAACCGTTTCAAAAAGAACATTAAGTACTGCAACTAACTATATACGACTGCCATAGCATGTAAAACCTTAAGGCACAACTTAATCGCATTTAAATTTCAAATTAACTCCATTAAAACCTGATCATTATTGCCAGATAAATCGAATGTTTCTGCTTTTCCTACCCAATCCACCATCCCACTGACACACAAACTCACTCTATATACAACGTAATTCATGCATTGCTGAGCCTTAGACAAAAAAAAAACATCAAAATAAACACTTACGATAATTATATAAAGTATAATTAAACTGATTATTTGCGCAACGACAGAAGCTTATTTCTAGCAACTTTTTTGCGTTATCAAAGCAAAAAAGTCTGTATAATTTTGTCCTTAGATTAACCTTAGAAATTTGTCAATATTCTCACTCTGTGCAAATAATAAAAAAAAACTTTTGAAAAAAGCAAACGAAAAGCCGGAAAGTTATTTCTTAAAATTCGTTTAGAATGTAAGAAAATGCATATAAATATATTTAAATTCGTATTATACAAAAAACACACGACACACACGAAGAAGCAAACACATAATAAATAAAAACTTGAAAATTGTACAAAATTCAAAAGTATTCGCAAATTCTAGTTTTTGTAATTATGCACTAATCTAATCATTTACGGGTAAATGTAAAGTGGGGGCGACCGAAAGGAATGGCTTATATGTCTGTTCAAATAAATTTTTCGTTAAAAACAAACATAAACACATAAATTTCTATAGATCAAAGGAGCTGCTTAACTAATATTAATTTTTGCTTATCCATTTTTTATTTTTGAAAGTAAGTCAAATTTGCTGCTCACATCGGTCTAATTGTTTTATAATAGATTTTTTGGATTTCCTTCCCTACGCAATAACTATAAAAACATTTAAACTAATTTAGGAAATTTTTTTATTATTTTAGGTTTAAAGGAGTACTCTTTAGTTTATTAAAAATAATTGTTTTCAGAAGCTTTAATTAGCAACCACAATTAAAAAATATCGACAATTAAATAAATAGGTTTTACCTATAAAATATGTCATGATAAGCTAAAAAATGTCTTTTTAAATTCAGAATTACCCAAATTGAGAGTTTTTTGTTTTATTTAAACGAGGCCTTACTGTTATGTATGTTTGTTTTTCAGCGAAGTGGCAACCCTGGACGTTCCTTTGTTGTATTTATGTGCTTTGAGTCAGTCGGAAACCGTGATAAAACCTCAGAATTCAAACAAAATTTAGTCTTTCACAAAAATTACAATAGTCAACATGTCTCTGGTCACGGATGAAGAGTGGGTGGAGTACAAGGTAAGGATCATTATTTTCCTTAAATACAAAGAAATATCCCTAATAATCCCGTTAGTCGAAGTTCGACAAGAGCTACGAAGCGGAGGAGGATCAACTGCGTCGTGAATTATATGCAAAGGCTAAGGCCCGCATTGATGAACACAATCGGAAATTCGAGAAGGGCGAAGTGACTTGGAAAATGGGAATTAACCATTTGGCTGACCTCACCCCCGAAGAATTCGCCCAGCGTTGTGGCGGGAAAAAGCCCCCGCAATAAATGGTAGAATCTCAACCACATCGCATTTAAAACAATGTTTTTTAAAGACAGTAATCTCTCTGTAATTCTATAAATGTGCATTTGTATTTTTTGAATGTTTTTTACCCACCCCCAAATAAACAATAAATCAGCTGTTTTGTACGTTTAAAAGATTTTGTACATTTTGTGTTCTGGTCACATTTACGGGGGCAACAGTTCATTGAGTTTTTGGTTCAATGAACCGTGGTTTATTTTTTAAAACGCTATATGCGAGAATATACTTATAGTCGAGGTGATAAATTTCCATTAAAAAACATGAAGGTAAATTACCGTACATGGACAGACATATATATATATGTATACTTGGACTTGCAAAAAATTGACGTATGCTGATTGCGGTTGAACTAGTTCCCGTTCTTTTAACTTGGAGCGATTAGTGAACCGAACTGCAGTGCCGACGAGCGGCAGTTCTCACACAACATTTGAAAGTTTGTAAACTTTTTACTTTCGATCACATAGACACCCCCACACACGTAGTTATTTGTTTTTTACAAACACCTTTTGTTTTTGCCCAATCTCTTGCAGAATCTTGCACCAGCAGTAGCAGAACCTCGCAGCCCAGCCAACCATGTCCGGAATCATGCGTGTGCCATCGATTTTGGCCAAAAATGCGGTCGCCTCCGTGGTAAGTAGTCTCCCTGGGAGAAAAAAAGCATCGCATCTTCGAGAAAACCATCTTTTGTAATAGTGGTTATACAACCGGGTCTGTGAAGAACCCAAACGCTCGTGATGTGACAACAGAAAAGGCCAAGAAATTGGCCAAAAACGCACCGCCCGTAGATAGTGTTATGTAATTTGCTTAGAATTTGTGTGCCAGGTGTTTGATATTGGCCCTTCTGCTACTGTATTTTTATGGATAAATAATACCCATAATGTTGCTCAGCTTTTCTTTGTTTTCCGAGATTTTAAACCAAAAAGTAAGGTGTGGACCAGGGAGGTTATGTTATGCTGCCGCCCCGCCCCCTTTCCCACTCCTCCCTTGAAAATTGTGTTTATCTGATATCGTGCATTTCGCTATGCGTGCAACAGATGCAGTAAAAAACATTTAATTTTGGATCAACGACACGCCTCGAAAACCTCTACAAGTTCCGCTCAATCGGGGAAATCGGCAGAAATGAGTATAGTAATAGTGAGAGAAAAAAAGAGAGGCACGTCAGCCAGCTAACAAAACTAACAGCTGATTATACAATTGAGCTAATCCACCGCCCCCTTTATAGCATACCCCCGAAATAATCCAGCAAAATTATTTAATTTGTTGATTACATAAGGACTTATCAGTGCAAGTCTCTCTTTCTACTCCTCTCAATTGTAGACGTCATCAGCAAATCTTTATAGCAGAGTTCTCGTACTATCTCTTCCATCTTGTTTTCATTTTGCTTAACTAATTGTCGGCTTATTAGTTGCAATTACTTTTGTGCATTTTTTAAACCTTATTACTGATAAGATAACATTCCTTAGCTGTTGCAGATACATAGATAGTATGGGTATCCATTATTACCTGTTACTAGTAGTATTTTATCAAAACAGCGACTAACAAAATATACATTTTATTAATAACATATTTCGAACCTCATTAGAAGTTTAGTGACATTACCGACCCTTTAAATAATCTATTTAAATTCATGATTATTAGTTGAGTCGACATGCCCCTTAGCCTGTGTTGCGCGATTTACTTGCAATTAATAACACAAAAGGGTTGAAATGTTTAAAAATCATTTTAAACATGTATTTAAGAAAGTACAGTAATTTCTGTAATCAGTCAAATTCATTGACATTAGTCAATCCTTAATAAACATTTAAATTTCACATCAAATTCTCACTCCCTTTGCAGCAAAGGCAGTCACACTTAAGTTTACGTAATTTTTTTTTACAAATGATTGTGAATTATGGTTGAATGACAAAAGCAAGCAATGCTTTGATGACTTTATAGGCAAGCCGGGATTTTAAATCAGTAAATTGTTCTATCCCACTTACAAACTGCAGCGGGCCATTAAAGTAATCACAGCTGTATACAACGAAAAATAATTATAGTATACATTTCCATCAATGTATAGATCAATATTTTACACTTTTTGAACCTTTGGGCAATAAAATAGGTATTGCATAGTAACGACTAATACCGAATAAGAATATGTTTGCTTTTGATGAGTTCATTCCAGTTACAGTTAGACAAAAATAAAAATAGTATGGGATATTTAAACATTTAAATGATTGAAATAACTTGTAAAAGTAAAAATATGATATATTTGCTGATTATTGATTCATTCCCCATTCCCCTTCCACAGCAACGTGCCGCCGCCATTGGAGCGCAGCGCAGCTACCACATCACACACGGCCGCCAGCAGGCCTCGGCGGCCAATCCGGACAAGATTTCGAAGCAGTATCCAGTGGTGGACCATGCCTACGATGCGATCGTCGTGGGAGCAGGAGGTGCTGGCTTGCGGGCGGCCTTTGGCCTGGTGGCAGAGGGTTTCCGCACGGCAGTGATCACCAAGTTGTTCCCCACCCGCTCGCACACGATCGCCGCCCAGGGTGGAATCAACGCGGCGCTGGGCAACATGGAGGAGGACGACTGGAAGTGGCACATGTACGACACAGTCAAGGGCTCCGATTGGCTGGGCGACCAGGACGCCATCCACTATATGACACGTGAGGCCCCGAAGGCCGTCATTGAGCTGGAGAACTACGGCATGCCCTTCTCGCGTACCCAGGACGGAAAGATTTACCAGCGCGCATTCGGCGGTCAGAGTCTGAAGTTCGGCAAGGGCGGCCAGGCCCATCGCTGCTGCGCCGTGGCGGATCGTACCGGTCACTCGCTGTTGCACACTCTGTACGGTCAATCTCTGAGCTACGACTGCAACTACTTTGTGGAGTACTTCGCCCTGGATCTGATCTTCGAGGAGGGCGAGTGCCGCGGCGTGCTGGCGCTCAACCTGGAGGATGGTACACTGCACAGGTTCCGCGCTAAGAACACGGTCATCGCCACCGGAGGCTACGGACGCGCCTTCTTCTCCTGCACCTCGGCGCACACCTGCACTGGTGACGGCACCGCCATGGTGGCCCGTCAGGGTCTGCCCTCCCAGGATCTGGAGTTTGTCCAGTTCCACCCGACCGGAATCTACGGTGCCGGTTGCCTGATCACCGAGGGTTGCCGCGGAGAGGGTGGCTACCTGATCAACGGCAATGGCGAGCGCTTCATGGAGCGCTATGCTCCAGTGGCCAAGGATCTGGCCTCCCGCGACGTCGTCTCGAGGTCGATGACCATCGAGATCATGGAGGGCCGTGGCGCTGGACCCGACAAGGATCACGTGTACCTGCAGCTGCACCATCTGCCGCCCAAGCAGCTGGCCGAGCGTCTGCCCGGTATCTCTGAGACCGCCATGATCTTCGCCGGCGTGGATGTGACCCGTGAGCCCATCCCCGTGCTGCCTACGGTGCACTACAACATGGGCGGTGTGCCCACCAACTACCGCGGCCAGGTGATCACCATCGACAAGGATGGCAAGGATGTGATAGTGCCGGGACTCTATGCCGCCGGTGAGGCCGCTTCCAGTTCGGTGCACGGTGCCAACCGTCTGGGTGCCAACTCCCTGCTGGATCTGGTGGTCTTCGGACGTGCCTGTGCCAAGACCATTGCCGAGCTGAACAAGCCCGGTGCCCCGGCTCCCACCCTAAAGGATAATGCTGGCGAGGCCTCGGTGGCCAATCTGGACAAGCTGCGCCACGCCAACGGCTCGATCACCACCGCCGATCTGCGCCTAAAGATGCAGAGAACCATGCAGCACCACGCTGCAGTGTTCCGTGATGGGCCCATCCTCAAGGACGGCGTTAACAAGATGCAGGAGATCTACAAGCAATTCAAGGACGTGAAGGTTGTCGATAGGTGGGTAATAGAAATATAGTTTTTGTCTCCCGCTAACGTTCCATTGCTTTTGAAGGTCGCTCATCTGGAACTCCGATCTGATAGAGACGCTCGAGCTGCAGAACCTGCTGGCCAACGCCCAGATGACTATTGTGGGAGCTGAGGCGCGCAAGGAATCGCGTGGTGCCCACGCCCGCGAGGACTTTAAGGTCCGCGAGGATGAATACGTAAGTTTCCAATGCTTTTAACTATTGAACTGTTTATTAACTCGACATCGTAACTTGCAGGATTTCAGCAAACCCCTCGAGGGTCAGCAGAAGAAGCCCATGGATCAGCACTGGCGCAAGCACACACTTTCGTGGGTGTGCAATGACAATGGTGACATTACGCTGGACTACAGAAACGTGATCGATTCTACGCTGGACAGCGAGGTATCCACGGTGCCACCGGCGATTCGCTCCTATTAAGTCTAGACCTGGAGTTGCAGGACACCCGCATACACACCACATACCACCACACAATCACACGTACGGATGTCTACTTAAACGTCTTGTGGGCGCCAGTAAAATGTTTTCAAGTCGCCAATGTGCTTTAATGTGCTATAAACTGGGAACGCGGCAGCGGTTCCTAATGGCGTTTTGCGATGAAATGTAAAACCAGCTATTCTTTACATCCTATATATTCTTTATATATCAAACTCTGCTGTTTCTATTTATTTTTTGTACGCTGCCCTCCATTTGGTTACTGTTCGGTTGTCGGTTATTTACAATTTTACATAAGCGAAAAATGTGTGTGACAACGAGATAGGCATTAGCGATTTTGACGATAAAGCCTGTCAACAAGCAAATGAAAACAAATCCAACTACAATTTTCTAGTATTTGTTAAACTTATTAAATTATTAAAACGAAAACATGTAAAAACAATAAAAAATAACAAAATACGAAACCATTTGGGATACAGTAAATAAAAGTGATGAAGATTAAAGAGGCCAAGCAATTAATTTCTCCATTTAGCCACGGAACACGTAAATTTGATTGGGCTTAACATCCAACTGAGTCAAAATATCGACGGCAGCGGTGTTGAAACCACTTGGTCCACAAATGGCCACATAAGTACATCGTTCCGGCTGCTTTTTCTGGAACAAGGGAGTTAATATCTCTAATGAAATCCTTTGTGGGTTATCCTCCGCCTGAGAGAGGAGGTTTGTGCAGCTAAATCTCTCGTCCATCGAATGTATTTCCTCTAGTTTCTCCTTCAACCAAATGTCCTCTGAAGTTTTGTTAAAGTATAACAACTGCAGGCTTTCACTGTGGAAGATAATCATATGTTTTCAAAGATTTTATACTTAATCTTTAAGGACTCACATTCGATTTGTATTCCTCTTCAGAATGGGCTGAATTATACTTAAAATTGGCGTTATACCGCTTCCTGCGGCCAGAAGAAGAATGTTTCTATGTGCAGTGAGCTCCGAGAGCTGGAAAGATCCACGTGGCGGGCTAAGCTGGATGCGAGATCCCACTTTTAGATCATGGAGGTGACTGGAGACAGGTCCATTGCTATATCTTTTGATTAAAAAGTTGAGGCATTCAGAATTCTTATCTATATGGACGTAGGACTGATCCACAGGTGTGTAGCTGCGCTGAATCACATCACCATCCAGTGGGACTTTTATATCCACGTGGTAACCCACTGGCAGAAGCATCAATACCTCGTTCGCAACGCATTGCAGGCTCAGCTCAAAGGAGTCGTGATTGAAATCCTTCCGGTGAGTTACTTCGCAGTCGAATGTTTCTTCTTGCATGCTGGCCGAGTCCAACTTATAGGACACATGAGAGCCATATGTTGGCCAGGGTGCTGCCTCTTCCTTTTCCAAGATTACTTCAATCTTCCCCGTCTCCGCGCCGATTTTCGCGACCTTTGGAGGCCATTGCACCTTGTCGGTTAGCTGAAAGTCGAAGGAATGCCAATTGTGCTGGACTAAAACCCGTACACCCAGCTGTTGGGGATCCTTCCTCCGGATTAACAAGCCTGGATTGGCCGAGCTGCGGGTGTAGAAGATCAAGGTAAGTTCACTCCTCTGCTGAATCCAATCGAAGCGGGGAACAAGCTCCGGAGGCTTCAAAATCACATTGGTAATCTGAGGACTTTCTTTGGAGGGCTTTGGCTCGCTCTCCTTCAATGGTCCCACATAGCATTTCCCCAGCAATTGCGGGTAGTTGACCCAGGCATGCACTTCGTCAAATAATTTGGTGGCATCACGACCAACTCCTCGCATCAGTTCGTCCACTCCACCCGGATGAAAGTCCATGTAGCGGGTGACATTAAACACACGACCGCGAATGGCCATCCAGGCGTCGTCGACCTTGTTATGGAGGGCCAACTCAGTCCGGGAAACGGGCACCACACGTCCTCTGGTTCCAGATAAATCCGCTCCTGAATTGCACAGCCGTACCCAGCTCATCAGGGAGTAGCCCGGCTTCAGGGCGCACTTGTTTCGGGGATTGCCGGTGGCCGAGCCAGAAGCGGAGGAGGACGAGGTTCCATTGGAGCTGGAGTTCAGCTTCTGAGGCGCTGTGACAGGCAACTGGAGGCCACCGCCGGATCCTGCTGGGGCCACCAACTGAGGAGGCCTCATCAGTTGGTCACTAGTGGGCGGTTTGAGTGACGGTTCGGACATTATCGGTCCCGAGAAACGCTAACCACACGAATCAACAAGCTGTTTGGTCAAACACAATAAATATTACACAAAACAGCTGTTTTAGCGATTGGTTCCATAGTTCATGAACCAGTGGAGGTGAACTAGTTTCCAGGCTTATGGCGGTTAAAGTTAAAAACTGTACAGTTCTTTTAGTAATGATTTTTATTCTTTTTTTGTTTAAAAAATATATTCATTTTATATTAGTTATTAATATTCATTAAATTTTAGTAAAATAATAATATACTCAAAATGTCATTTAGTCTAAATATTTGTATGATAAACGTTTATTTTTATTGTTTTTAATTCAACCTTACTAACTTTCATTTGAGCCATTTAGCTGTGTAAACGGATTATTTATTTTTAAAATATTATTCAGTAATGGAAATCGAAAGTGTGGGGTTCTGCCCGACCTCGTATATCAAGAGATCAACATTAAATATATTATATCCGAAGAATATCACTATCAAATGGCAAAATTCAAGAAAATCTGTTATTTTCAAGCTTAACGAAAGTGCCCCCAAAAAAATTCATGAAAATTCAATGATTAAAGAATTATTTTTTATTTGATTTGGTAGCTGGTAAAATGCCGAAATTGAACAACTTAACTATTAACAAATTATCCAACTTATACATAACGAATAAAAAAAGTTTTAATTTTAGAAAGTGTCTAAATTAATTTGTTTATTCTATATAATTAAAATTTATAGCGGTGATAGTCGGCAGGCCATTCAATCAACACCGCAAAGTCTGGGAACGTTTTAGCAAATTCCTGAGATGATAGGTCCCCTTTAGAATTCATAAATTGCCTGGTGACTCCAATTTGAACGACGGAGACACTGAAGTCGTTACCGGGTTTCTGGAAGAAAAACATTTCTGATATAGCTTTTCTGAAACAAGTTACACCAACTGCCTACCTGGAGTTCCAGAGTGAAGATCACAGGAGAATTGTCCACACCGGAACTGAAGATGACATAATACGGCGGGGTGGTGGATAAGAAGCTCTCAAGGAACGACCACTTGGTGATAGTGACGTCCTCGTTAGGTTGGATTAGCAAACTCGAGTGATCCGCAAAAGAGATCTTTAGTTCAATTCGCAACGTCTTTCCGTCACTCAGCACTGTTCTATTCAGGAGCTCTATTGGTTTCTCTGGAACCGTCTCTACTGGCGTTTTCCGGGGCAACCACATCCCGCAAAGTTTGTACTTCGCACAATCAGATTCCATACTTACCAAGCCGGTCAAATTCACATTGGCATCCCTTAGGGGAGCACTACCACGTCGATCCTGGAAATTAAACTGATATCCGGAGTCATCCTTGATTACGGTTCCACCGTACTCGTAAAAGATTCGGCGCACATGCTGCAAAGGGAATTGGAAGGTCAGTTAAAAATTAAACTCCAAAGAGCTCTCCTCCAACATCAATACATTACTTACCGTATAGTAAACTCGCTCTACGTTTGTCTTGGCCCGATATGGAAAACCAATCTGAGTAGAGCTAGCTATATAAACAGTAGCAGCGCTCAAGACTATCAAAGACACAAGAACGAATCCGGATCGAGGAGACAAATTAACAAGCAAAATCTGAAATTTAATACAAAAAGCTAAGAAACATTACAGATCAAAAAGAAAAGTGCACATACCAAAAATCCCATTGACAGTACGGTACCGAAAGCGACCAAGGCAGAAATAATCAAGTCGGGATTTGTGTTTCTGGATTTGGAAGTATCATTCATAAATCATTCAATTAAAAATTAAACCAAAACTTACTGTCCAAATCGACCCATCATAGGAGTCAGAATAACAACAAATGTGTAGAACAGGTAGCTATTGTACAGGAATGGAACAACCTGAATTATTTTTAGAAAACCAATCCACGAGAAACCCCGATCATGTAGCGATGTCAGCAAATTTAGAGTCAGTGGAATGGCGTAGAAGATTAGGGTCCACGTAATAATATATGTGGTACGCAGTCCGTAATAAGTAAGACCCACAGTGATAACTGACAGGATAATGGCATGTCCATGGAGAGTCATTTGCAGTTGTTGGGCATATGAAATTTTATCCTGTGAAGAAAAAAATTTATAACCCTCTATGTTATCTGTATAATCATAACCAATATACTTACATTATTTTGTATCCTTAGATAGACAAAACTAGGAAGAGCCAGACCAAAGAGACTAGGGCACACATAAAGGCCGAGAGAAAGTGCCGGAGTGCTGAAGTAGGTCATGCTGAGTCCGTATTTATCAAACATATATGCAATAGATAAAGGCAGAGCTAGACCCAGAACCAAAGCAATGATCTGAACTATAAGGATCAGGAGGAACGAGATGAGGATCTTCTTGAATGTCACATTGGATTTGAACGCCATGCGCCACAGAGATACATAGATCAGGAGAAAGGCAACTCCGGCCACGGCGTAGTTGAGGATTATACCATTACTCTCTGAATAGCTGACGAAGAATAGTCCCAGTACATCGAAGAAGACCGTTTTTCCTGTCACCTTAGATACACAAATTCTTCAAATTAAAATTAATTTAAATATAATTTTGGTTAACTTACTGATGTGTCAGCCAATTCTGGGGCATTGGCCAGCGCTCGAACTAGTCCCAAAAGATTATCTCCCGTGTTTTGAATAGAAGCTCGTGGAATAACATCATAACGATCATACTTTGTGTGATAAACATAGCCATTGACGCACTGCCCAAGATCCAGACCTTAAGTGATTAATACAAATAAAAAAAGGTAGGAAAATAGCAAATGTTTATTGCTTACCGACAAGATTTCCATATGCGACGAAAATACGATAATCAGTATCCGATGGTATAATACCTGTCTGGAAAATTTCCTCAGCCATTGTGGTAGCAAACGGATGTTTGGCATGCTTTTTATAGTACTGGAAGAAATAAATTATTAATTGAGGATTCCACGTTTTAGGTATATAGACAATTAATTACTTCGACAAGCCAGGGATTATTGGGTCCTGTCTGGAACAGGATTTCCCTACTTCCACTGCCAGCTGCATCCAGGTTAATTAGGACTCTTAAATATTAAGAAAATAGGCTTACATGTTTGGAGCTTTATCTTAAAAATGTACCTTTACTTACTTGCAGTTTGGTGCCCATTTGTGTTGGGTAATGAAACCGTGCGATGCCTGCAGCGAATTCTCTTCGGCTCCGTTGAGGAGAAAGATGATTGTGTTCCTAAACTTTTCCCTGGTGGTCGTGATCACTCGTAATACCTCCAGGACGGATACAACCATATGTCCTGCATCCCCGGCTGCTGGAGTAGTGGGTTTGGAGTCAAAGTGGGTGTTCACCAGCAGGTAATCCTCGCTCGTGCTTCCCTTGGGTGTCAGTTTAATGACTATGTTCTGCACCGCCTGATATTGGTACAGTGCGCCGGATTTCTCGTAAGAGCCGGAAACAACTTGGTGGTCAATTTCCATTTCAAAGAAGTCCTCCAGAACGTTTTCCTTAATCAGTGCCAGTTCCCCCATCAAGAACTGAACGGTTTTATTCTCATTCGCATCGCTGCCGACCAACTTAACACCGATCTTATCGAAGTCATAGAGATTGGCCTGTGCGCGTTCGGCTATGAAAATCCCCTTGGATACGTCCTCGAGTGTATTTGCAGGTGGAAGGCGATAGAAGAGGGGCACCACAACCGCAAGGAACAGGAAAGCCCAAAAAAAGATAAACCCGCTGGTCAAGTACCAAGGGACTTTTGGTATTTGCCTTCCTTGGCTTGAAATTTTAATTTCCGCGTTTGATTCAATAGAATCGTCAGATAACTAAAACAAATAAAATACAATAGTAAAAACATTCTTAGCCTTGTCGAAATTTCCTTACAAGAAGCTCCTTGTCATCCATTTTTTGTTTAATCCTGGCGGAAGTGTTGAAGATCTCTCATTCAGAACTATACTGAAGTGAAGGCGGTTACTAGTGCCTTTATATCTAAATATCGGCGGATCTTAACTAGCAACGTTTTGCAAATCATTTAGACCTTTGCTTATCGTCAACACTTTGGCAATTTAGATTATGTATTATTACCATTTTTATGCAATAAAAGTGTGATTGTTTTTATTGTAATTGACAGAACAAATTCGATTTTGATTTGTTACTCATTTAAAAAAGAAAAATATTTTATTCTGAGAAGCTAAATTATTAAAATCTCAGCCTTTAATAAAGCAATATACATCGATGTTTTATAATGGGTTTGGACAATATTAAAACTAATCTTACCACTAAGGCGCCAATCTTGATTTCACTTGCGATAAGTGATTTTTATGATTTCACCTTCGCAACCGAATGATTGCTGCCAAAGTTATAGACCTCGTGCCGGTCAATATAGATAAGGTAGAGTGGCTTCAATTTGAAGTATAATTACTAATTTAATTTTTATTATTAACGATACACCATAAAGTTGAATTAAAATATGTATCGATGGTAGTCCGCTGGCCATTCAATTAGGACAGCGGTCTCGGGGAAAGTTTCGGCAAACTTCTGAGCGGTGAGATCGCCTTTAGTGTGCATAAACTGTCTGCCAATTCCGATTTGTGCGAGTGGTACGTTGAAGTCCCCATTGGATTTCTAGAAAACAAAAGAAGATTCCATTTGATACAATTTACTTGTAACCATTTGCGGCAACGATCTACCTTTATCTCTAGGGTTAAGTTTACGGGAGATCCATCCACGCCGTAAGTGAAGAATAGATAATAGGGCGGGGTACTGGACAAATAGCTATCAAGTAACGTCCAACTGCTAATGGTTACGTCCTCAAAGGGCTGGATGTACAGAGTGGAATGGTCCGTGAAATTGATTTTGAATTCGAGACGGACGGTTAGGCCATCTTCCAGAACTGTTTTGTTCAGGAGCTCCAAGGGTTTATCCGTCGCAGGTTCAATGGGTATTTCGCGGGCCAGCCAAGTTCCATTCAGACGACTCTTCACATAGCGGGAATCGGGATAGGGCACCCCGCACATCATGTACTTCGCACAATCAGATGCCATGCTCACCATACCAGTGAGATCCACATTGGCTTCCACCAGGGGAGCACTACCACGACGATCCTGGAAGTTGAACAGATATCCAGACTCATCCTTGCTGACGGTTCCATCATATTCGTAAAAGGTTCGGCGCACGTGCTGTAAAATAGGTATAGATATCAGTTTATTAAGGATACTCAAGTAAAGATCCAACTAAAGTGATATCACTTACCAAATAGTAAACCCTTTCAACATTAGTCTTAGCACGATATGGGTAACCGATATCCGTGGAGCTGGCAATGGAAATAGTGGCAGCAGTTACGGATAGCAAAGCCAGAAGAATCAAGCCTGATCGACGTGACACGTTTATAAGCAAAATCTAAAGATTATACAATTATATGGTTAAAGGGCTTGATAACCTAAAGCACTAAGTCATCTTACTAAAAAGCCCATCGAAAGAATAGTTCCCAAGGCGGCCAAGGCAGAAATGATCAAGTCGGGATTGGTGGTCCTATTAAGGATTGAAAACATACAAATCAGAAGCCATTCCCTCTTCAAAGCCAAGTCATACTTACTGTCCAAAACGACCCATCATTGGGGTAAGAACTACTATGAATGTGTAAAAAAGATAGCTGTTGTACAGGAACGGGCAGACCTGGATCACCTTTACAATCCCCGTCCATGAAAAGCCACGATCCTGCAGAGTGGTCACCAGATTAAGACCTACGGTAAGGACATAGAAGACAAGGGTCCAAGTAATGATATAGGTAGTACGCAGGCCATAATAATTTATGGCAATGCCAAGAATGGACAACACAACTGCGTGTCCATGGAGAGCCATTTGCAGTTGGTGGGCATAAGTAAGTTTTTCCTGTATGTAAAATTATTAGTTACTCTACCAAAATCACAAGATATTTCATTATAACTCACATTCTTCTGCAGCTTAAGGTATATAACACTGGGCAGAGCAAGTCCCACGAGACTGGGGCAAACATACAGGCCGAGGGAAAGTGCCGGAGTGCTGAAGTAGGTGAGGGATAGTCCGTTCTTGTCAAACATGTACGCAACCACTATGGGCAGAGCTAGTCCCAGTACAAAAGCAACCACTTGGAGCACAAGGATGAGGACAAACCAACTCAGGACCTGGGCGGAGGTTACATTGGAAACGTCCGCAATTCGCAGGAGCGATACATAAACCAGAAAGATTGCGATTCCGGCCACGGCATAGTTGAGGGTTTTGCCATCATCAGCCGAGTAGCTAACAAAGAACAGTCCTAGGACATCAAAAAAGATTGCCTTTCCGGTTTCCTAAGACAACAAAAGATTTAAAATGGCTGAAGAACAGACCTAAGGTGATTATTAAGACTTACAGTGGTGTCAGCCAATTCTGGGGCATTGGCTAGGGAACGAACAAGGCCCAAAAGATTGTCTCCCGTGTTTTGAATGGAACCCCGTGGTATAACATCATAACGATCGTACTTTGTGTGATAGACGAAACCGTTGCAAACCAGACCAATATCATACCCTGCGTTGGGAAAGGGGTTTATCAGCACTAGTACGTTTAGATATCTATAGGTTTAAAAGCTTACCAACGAGGTTTCCAAAGTCGGAGAAAATATCAAAGTCAGTGTCTGAGGGTACGATGCCAGTTTGGAAAATTTCCTCAGCCATAGTGGTAGCAAATGGATGCTCAGCGTACTTCTTGTAGTACTGAAAGACATAGATCGATCGATTGGAATTTCATCTTTACAAAGATAATGTTAAAGTAATCACCTTGAGAAGCCACGAGTTGTTGGGTCCCGTCTGGAATAAAAGCTCGCGACATCCACTTCCAGCTGCGTCCAAATTAATTACGACCCTTCAAAAATAGAAAATAAGTTAACCCTTTTAAAGACTTATCAAAAATCTCTTTAAACTGACTTGCAGAATGGCGCCCATTTGTGTGAGCTGATGAAACCATGCGATCCCTGAAGCGAATTCTCCTCGGAACCGTTGAACAGAAAGATGATTGTGTGGTCAAACTTGTCGGTGGAGGTTGTGATGATTCTGATCACCTCAAGCATGGTCACGATCATGTGACCCGCATCTCCGACAGACGGACTCGTGGGCTTTGAGTCAAAGTGGGAGTTGACCAGCAGGTAATTCTGGCTCGTACTTCCCTTGGGCGTTACTTTAACCACTATATTTTGCACGGCCTGGTACTGGTACAGCGCGCTGTTCCTCTCATACGATCCATAGGCAATTTGGTGGTCGATCTCCATGTCGAAATAGTCTTCTCGGACATTTGCTTGGATTAGTGCCAGTTCCTTTAGTAAAAATTGTACCGTTTTGTTCTCATTTCCATCGCTTCCGACCAACTTGATGCCGATCTTTGCGAAGTCGTATAGATTCTCCTGGGCTCGTTCGGCGATGAAGACTCCCTTGGAGGCGTCCTCGAAGGTGTTGCCCTGGGGCAGGCGGTAGAACAGTGGGACCACGACTGCCAGGAAGAGGGAAGCCCAGAAAAGGACGAAGCCGCCGGCCATGTACCAAGGAATTTTGGGGATCTGCGTCCTTTTCCCCACATTCTTCTTCACAGTGGCCGATTCGATAGAATCCTCCGTCAACTAAAAGAATATTTCACTGATGTTAATAAGGACTTTTTTAATTTTTTGTTTTTTATTACAAGAAGGTCTTTGTCACCCATTCTGCTGCTTTGTCGCTGCGGCTCAGAACGTTTGCTCCATCAGAATGGAACTCAACAGAAATGGAAGGCTTTTATATTCCGAAATCGTCTGGACTTTAACTAACCCTTGAAGGTGAGTTAGCTTATTAGTTATCGTACATACGTTTAGAAATTTAGATTATGGATTATTACCCATTTTTTTTAAAGGAATCGAGGGTAGAACGAAAATTACTGTTACTAACTCAAATTTATACATTTTGTATAGCCTTGCAGGGGGTTTTAGTTAAACTAGCTGTTTTTGAATATATTTTGTATATCTCGATTTTTGTTCTAATCGGATTAATTTATATTATAGCTGGCATATATCTGCCATACTAGCCATATGGTTCTAATTTATCAATAGTAAACATTCCAAATCACATTTTTTTATGTGCACACTGATCAAGTTAAAGGATATTGAAACCGTTTTCGTTGTAATTAAAAGAAAATTATTTGAAGAAATAGGCAACACGAATGCGATTTTTAACTTATTATACATTTAAAATAAAATTATGAGTCATTCCCTTTTAAAATAAAAATTCTATTTGGATCGAATAATTTAAATTTCACTTAAAGTCTTTTTTAATTGTTTAAGAAAATAATTAGAATTAATCAAACGCCTCGCCCACCGAACAAAGAATGATCTTAATCGAAAAGTCTCAAGCTGTTTCACACGCCTTTGTAGATAACGAATCTTTATGGTTCCAGACCCACCACAACCAAATGATTGTTACCGATGATATTAAACGCACTCTATTGAGTTCAAGAGTTATTTTATGGTACAATAATTTAGGGTGCACTGATAGCATTAGCATAAAGCTAAATCTAAAGTTTTAGTACACTTCAAGAGGGTATTATAATTTCAAACAGAAGGTTGCAACGCAATGGAAACATTTCTGATCCTATAGGGTATGCATATATTCTTGATCAGCATCACCAGGCGAATCGACCTAGCCATGTCCGTATGCCAGTTTCTTCGCAAACTAAACCCTCAGAAATAGTATTTAAGTCAGAACGAGCCGGATCGGAACAAAACGAAAAAAAATCATAACTTCGTAGTTTCCATATACTTTTACTTTTATAAATATCGGAAGGCTATATGATACATCTTCGAAGTTAAAATTTCGCATATTTAATTTTTGTAAGCTGCAAGACAACTTTGATTCCTTTTTGTTTTTATTATTGTTTTAAAATATTTGGGTCTGAAGAACATTGGTCAAGTAACTTATGGTCTTAAATTACGTTTGTTAAAAACTATAAGAAAAGACATAAATTCAAAAGAATAGTATTTTTCTTTAGAAATTTTAGAGGGTCAAAAGCGTGATTTTAGACTTATAATTTAATAGGCAAAAGTGTTTAGAATAGTCTATATTTTAATTTTTATATGTATTTAGAATTTAAAGGTAGCTATCCGGAAAAAAACTCTGCAAGGAATTAGAGTATCGTTCGTAACGGTAAATAAAATCATACCAGGGTGTGTAATAAAACTAAGTTGTGCAATTTTGAAAAGTTCTTTTAAATGTCAATGTATATTTTTTAAAATAGAAGAAATTATTAAAATGCAAATTATATATTTTTTATGAATTTATCTTATATTTTGTTATATAATAACAATTTAATATACATATTTCTTATAGATAGCTGGCCACTGAATAGTCACGGCGTAGTCTGGGAAAGATTTGGCAAACTGCACGGCTTCGTCATCGCCATCAACGTGCATATACTGTGCCGAAATTCCTATTTGGTAAAGTGGGACATTGAAGTCGCCATCGGTTTTCTAAAGGAATAAATTAAAATGAAATCGTGAAATTAACCATAATGTTCGATTCGCCTACCTTAAAATCGATGTAGAAGTTCAGTGGAGTATTGTCGATACCGAAAGAGAAGTAGATGTGATACGGAGGCGAGTTGGTGGTTAAGTATTCCTCAAGGAACGACCAATCGCTGACGGTCACATCCTCGTTGGGCTGGATGAAGATGCTGGTGTGATCGGTGCAGGTCAAATTGAACTCGAAGCGAATGGTCTGGCCATCGGCCAGCACCGTCTTGTTAAGTAGCTCCAGAGTCGGTTCCGCTGGCGTCCAGACGGGATTCTGTCGCGGCAGCCACATGGTGGCATCCATTGCCTCCACCCAACGGTGATCGTAAAGGGGCATGCCGCACATCATGTACTTCGCACAATCGGACGTCATGTTGACCAGGCCGGTCAGATCCACATTGGAGTCCTGCAGCGGAGCAACTCCGCGGCGATCCTGGAAGTTGAACAGATATCCGGACTCATCCTTGCTGACGGTTCCATCGTACTCGTAGAACACCCGACGCACTTGCTGTAATTCATGTGGATGTAAGAAGTGCTCATCCTTTAAGGAATAAGTTTGAGTACTTACCAAGTAGGGAACTCTCTGTACGTTGGTCTTGGCGAGATAGGGGAATCCCAAATCGGAACTGGCAAAAGACACAGCAGCGGCGGCCACGGCAAACAGAGTCAAGAGAACGAAACCAGATCGGCGGGACATATTAACCAGTAAAATCTGAATAGGATTAGCCAGAGTTTAGCATAGTTAGAGAACTCAAGTAGAAGGGAAACTTACCAGAAAACCCATGGACAGTATGGTTCCCAAGGCAGTCAAGGCACCAATGATTATGTCCGGATTGGTGTCCCTTAAAATGAAGTAATCCTTTTCAATCCTGTCTTAATTATCTTACATCTATAGAACTTACTGTCCAAAGCGTCCCATCATTGGAGTGAGTATCACAATGAAGCAGTAGAAGAGGTAGCTGTTGTAGAGGAACGGAGCGACCTGGACAATTTTCAGGATGCCCGTCCACGAAAAGCCGCGATCATGCAGGGTGGTCAGCAGATTGAAAGCCAAGGGGATGACGTAGAACACGAGGGTCCAAGTAATAACGTAGGTGGTGCGCAATCCATAATAATTGATACCAATGCAGAGGATGGAGAGCACAGCGGCATGTCCATGGAGAGCCAGTTGAACTTGTTGGGCAAATGGAACCTTATCCTGTACACATGATAATATTGTTAGTCTCCTAAAGTCATAGCAATAAAGACTGAACTCACATTACTCTTCAGCTTCAGATAAATGAAACTGGGCAGGGCAAGTCCAAGGAGACTCGGGCACACATACAGGCCGACCAAGAGCGATGGAGTGGCATAATAGCTGAGGGAGAAGCCGTACTTGTCCAATCCATAAGCCACTGCAAGAGGCAGGGCCAGACCCAGAACAAAGGCCACCACTTGGACAACCAGCACCAGGACGAAGGAGCTCAAGACCTGCTCGGAGCTGACATTTGACTTATCAGCAATGCGCAGCAAGGACACATAGACCAGGATAATGGCGGCTGCAGCCACGGCATAGTTTAGCTTCACACCAGTTTCGGCCGGATAGCTGATGAGGTACAAGCCCAGGACGTCAAAAAAGATGGTGTTTCCTCCCGGGTTGGCCTAATTTACGGATTGGAAAATGTCAGATGAAAGGTTTCTTAGGGTTATAGAGTAACTTACGCTGGGGTTTCGCAACTCGGTGGCATTGGACAGGGTTCGAACCAGACCGAGGAGGTTGTCTCCTGTGTTCTGAAGAGCAGCCCGGGGAATCACATCAATGCGATCGTACTTGGTGTGATAGACAAATCCATTGATGCACTGGCCAATATCCAGACCTGCCATTCAATCGGTTTAGTCCTTGCAAACATTAAAGTCAATTGTTAGTTTAGCTTACCAACAAGGTCTCCGTACTCCACGAAAATATCAAAATCGGTGTAAGAGGGAACGAGACCAGTTTGGAAGATTTCCTCAGCCATGGTGGTGGAGAAGTAATGCTTGGCGCCCTTTTTGTAAATCTAGAAAATAATAAAATTAATAGTCGGTATATAAAAGTTAATCTTAAGCTTCTTACATTGACCAGCCACGGGTTGTTTGGTCCCGACTGGAACATAAGTTCGCGACCTCCGCTGCCAGCTGCATCCAGATTGATGACAACTCTTTAACAAAATAATTGTTATAAGTCTGAACTTCAGTTGTTTCCTATCCTCAAACTTACTTGCAGTTCTTGGCCCATTTGTGGTAGGCAATAAATCCGTGAGATGCCTGCAGCGAATTCTCCTCGGATCCGTTGATCAGAAAGATAATTGGGTGCTCGAACGATTGCTTGGACGAGGACATCACTCGCAACACTTCCAGGATGGAGACCACCATGTGGCCATCGTCGCCGGTGGAGGGACTGGTGGGCTGGGAGTCGAAGTGACTGTTCACCAGGATGTAGTTTTCGCTGGTACTGCCCTTGGGCGTCAGCTTGACCACGATGTTCTGGATGCCCTGGTACATGTTGACAAGGTTCCATTTCACATACGCACCGTAGGCATATTGCAGGTCGATCTCCATGTCAAAGTAATCAGTCTGGACATTTTCCTTGATCAGATTCAATTCCTTCAGGAGAAACTGCACAGTCTTGTGCTCGTTTCCATCGCTGCCGACCACCTTGGTACCGATGGCTTCGAAGTCGTAGAGATTAGCCTGGGCACGTTCGGCGATGAAGACACCCTTTGGGGCATCCTCGACGGTCAGGGGCTCAGGGAGGCGGTAGAAGAGGGGCTTCACAACTGCAATGAAGAGCAGCCCCCAGAACAGGACGATGCCACCGGCAAAGTACCAAGGAAGTTGGGAGTACCCTTTTTGTTTTTTTCCATACTTTCTAGGTTTGACTCCTTCTTCAACGGGTTCATCTAGAATCTAAAAGAGTTTGGCAGACAACAGTTTTTAGTTTGTTTAAAAAACTCAATTCTACAATTGTCCTTACTAGTTTATCCTTGTCACCCATATTTTTGGTTTGTAGACACAGTCGAGCACACTGTCTTACTTTCAAAAAGGGAGCCAAATCGAGACTGACTGGAATCATATCGCAGCCCCTTTTATATCCCTAAAATAATCAAGAATATTTAATCATATCTTTAATTTTTTTATAGCTCAAATCTCTCTTATTCTTTCTTCAAAAACTGTAATTATAGCGAGGGTAGTTCAATAGGAACAAACCCTTTTTTAATTGTTCGTAATATAACGTAACAATTGTTGTAAAAAGAACAAGAAAGGAAACCAGCTTCAGCAAGCCAAAGGTTATATACCCTTTCAGTTAAAAAGAAAAGTATTCTATATAACCACTGGATTTCAATTTGCATGCGTATATATACAAAAACAATGAATTATATTATTTTTATAATTATTATATTAATAGTCCGATATTTATAATTACTATTACATTACTATATCTCGGAATGTTAAAAACAATGTTTTCTTAAATTTATTTTTACCGTTCCAATACGCTCCTGTTGATGAAGACGACCGATCCAGCCCGATCCGACTTATATAATAACTGCCATAGAAAGAATATTTTTGGGAAAGTTTTATTGTGATAGCTTTGCTTAGAAACGGATAGACGGATATTGCTAGAATTTTCCATTCCAGTTCACCGCGATGATAACTTTTGATCTTTTGAAATTATCATACCGACTGCAAAAGAATAAGAAGCAAAAATATATATTGAACAAGTTTACTTAATAAACGAAATTGTTTGGAATACTCTCCCATTATTAAATTATTTAAATATGTTAACCGACCTACCTTTATAACTATTCAAACTGCTCTTTTTAGGGCCACGCATTTTCAAGTGTGTAATAACCATAAAACTTGCCAAGTTCGATTTCTTAGCGATAAGAAATATGGGATTGCTTTCATGCCCAGCGCAACCCGACATAAGTTGTTTCTAAGTACCAAGTACCTACAATTATTTCTTACTCATTTGATGCCAGTCCGTGGCATCGAAGTGCCTAATTGTAGGTAATCTCAATTATCATGACTTAATTTATGGGTTGATAAAATGATCATTTTAATATGAAACACGCGATTGGCAATAAAGTTGTACTTATGTATGCCTTCATGATAAGATGTTGATATGTTCGTCCAAAAAGGTAATTAATAATAAAATATAATGATATAATTATAAAAATAGCTTTAAGCATATACATGTACGTCTTTATGTGACAAGACATTTGCCTTAATATGTTGTTTATTTACTTCAAAGTCATTCTTTTAAGATGGTATATTTATTAAGTATTTCTGTATTGTTCTTGGCATAATTAACTTAAACGAGTAAATAATCTTGGTAATATAAAAAATCTAGAAATATGTATATACATCACGGGGATTTCCACTTATCTGCAGACGTAGTCATATAATTAAGATTACAATTTTTCCATAATTTCCAACAAAAAAAAACGGGGTGTTCTGAGAAGATGGACAAAAAATTGTATTATTGGCACTTGTATTGCTGGTGTTCTTTAATATGCTTGTGTATTATATGGTTTTAGTGTATCGATAGTAACATTGGATGAGATGGCTGGTTTTCCGATTCAAATGTATATATAAGATGTTACGCTTTCTTAGAAAATGAATCGTTGATATGAGGTCGGCCACTCAATCAGTACGGCATAGTCCGGAAAGGACTGGGCGAATTTCTGGCTCAGTTCATCGCCCTTGTTGCCAATAAAGTGTGAGCATACGCCCAACTGGAATAGGGGAACACGGAAGTCGCCATTGGATTTCTGTGCGCGGAAAGAATACAAATTAAATGAAGAAAACTTTAGTTATGAAGGGCCAACTCACCGATAGGTCGATAAAAAAGGATAATGGCGAGTTATCCTTGCCATAGGAGAAGTAAACATGGTAGGTAGTTTGCTGACCAATGTATTCCAGTGGAAAAGACCAGTTGGTAATGTTCACGAACTCATATGGTTGGATGAACAAACTAGTGTGATCCGTAGTATTAATCGTGAACTTGAACCGCACTGTGGTCTTGTCAGACTGGATAATTTTGCTTAGGAGCTGCAGCTTAGGCACATACGGAGGATCGATCAATTCCTCTCGAGGCAGCCACATGGCATTTAGACGATTCTTAACCCATCGGTGATCGTAAAGTGGTTGTCCACACATCATACGCTCCTCGCATTCAGTTGCAATGCCCACCAAACCAGTCAGATTTACATTGGTTCCTTCCAAAGGAGCGGGTCCACGACGATCCTGGAAATTAAATAGGTAGCCGGAGTCCTCTTTGCTAACATTGCCATTGTATTCGTAGAAAGTACGTCGCACATGCTGAAATATGAATAGGATATAAGCATCTCTTTTAAAATGACTTCAAAATACCAACCAAATAGGGAACTCGCTCTACGTTGGTTGCTGCCCTATAGGGAAAACCAAGGGGAGTGACTGTGGCTAAGAAAATGCTGACTCCAAACACGGTCATCAGAGTGAGTAAGATCAGGCCAGGTCGACGGAATATGATTACTATAGGAGCCTAAACACATAATAATTATTGGGTTAGTTGCAATATAGATCTTGCTAAATGTTATTCTCACCAAGAAGCCCATTGCCAGGACAGTTCCCAAAGCGTTTATAGCAGACATAACCAAATCCGGGTTGGTTGACCTGTAAGTGAAATCATAAGTACTTTGGAATCAGTACATGTTTCTACTAGCCCACCTGCCAAAGCGTCCCATCATGGCAATCATTGTCTGGATGAGAGTATACAACAGATAGCTGTTGTACAAAAACGAAAAAAGTTGGAAGATAACTACGGCTCCAGTCCACGAAATTCCTTGATCGTGCAGGGTGGTTATCAGGTTGATGGCCAGGGGAATAATGTAGAAGAGGAGAGTCCAGGTTAACACGTAGGTGCTTCGCAGGCCATATACCGTCAACCCGATTACCAAAAGCGCCAGTATAAAGGCGTGCGCATTAACAACCATATGCAGTTGTTGGCGAAAGTAGGTCTTGCTCTATAATTAGTGTTATATATTAGGCTCTATTGAAATTTTTAAACTAATCTCTACTTACGTGACGCGGCAGGTCTAAGAAAATGTATGGTGGCAAAAGCAGGCCAAACAGACTTGGGCATACATACAGGCCGAACATTAGCTCCTTCGTGCTAAAGTATGTTAGGCTCAGCCCGTGTTTATCAAAAAAGTTTGCAATTAATATGGGTAGTCCAATAGCAAGCGAAACAGCGACAACCTGTACTACTAAAATTAGGAAGAACCAGCACACCATAAAACTAGTAGACACTTTGGAATGATTTGCCATGCGCCCCAGGGACAGGTAGATTAGAAGTAAGGCTGATATGGCCACAAAAAAGTTTAGAACTATGCCAGTTTTATTGGTGTAGTTCACGAAATATAGTCCCAAGACGTCAAAAAATACAGAGGGTCCTTGCTCATAAGCCTACGAAATTATTTGAAAGTGTACTTTAATTAAACTTATTGGTTTTAGGAAACTTACAGCAGTATTTTCCAGTTCAGTGGCATTGGATAAGGCGCGAACCACACTGAGCACATTTTCACCCATACTCTGAACAGAATTAGATGGAATAATATCATAGGTATCGTACTTCGTGTGATAGGTGTAGCCGTTGATATTCTGAGCCATATCCAGACCTATGTAATGAAGGTGTGAGTGGTTAATATATATTAAAGTATTTTATATACTTACCAATAAGCCCACCGTATTTAGTCAGAATACCGAAATCCGTATCAGAAGGCATGGACCCAGTTTGAAAGATCTCCTCGCCCACTGTGGTGGCAAATGGGTGCTTGGCACTCTTCTTATAATACTGAAAGGCAATTTAAGTTTTAAGTGGCTAATAAAAAAAGGAAGCTTTGCATTGCTTACATCTACTAGCCACGGATGGTTGGGCCCAGTTTGAAAGAGTAGCTCACGTCCTCCACCGGCACATCCTTCTAGATTGAGAAACGCTCTAGGAGTTGAAGATTTAACTGTAGTACAAGTGTTAAGCTTGTATCCCTACTCACTTGCAGAATGGAGCCCATTTGTGTTGGGTAATAAAACCATGTGAAGCCTGCAGAGGATTCTCCTCGGCCCCGTTTAGCAGAAATATTATTGGGTGGGTGAACGTTTGCCTGGTGGTGGACATCACACGCAGAACCTCCAGGATAATGGCCACCATTTGACCTGCATCGCCGGCGGAAGGACTCGTTGGCTTGGAATCGAAGTGGCTGTTGACCAGCAGGTAAGTTTCGCTAGTGCAGTTCTTGGGACTGAGCTTTATGACTATATTCTGCACTCCCTGGTACTTATTCACCATGGTCCAATGAATGTACGATCCCGAGACCTCCTGGAGATCGACTTCAATGTCAAAGTACTCGTCCAGGACATTCTTCTCGATCAGAGCCAGTTCATTTAGTAGGAATTGAACAGCCTTGATCTCGTTGTTCTCGCTGCCAACCACCTTTGGTCCGATTTTGACAAGATTATATAAATTGTCCATAGCCCGTTGGGCAATAAAGACACCCTTGGAGGCATCCTCGACTGACTTGGGATCGGGAACGCGATGAAACAGTGGCACTACGACAGCTAAAAAAAGGAGCAGCCAGAACAGAATAAAGCCACTGGCCAAAAAACAGGGTCCTCTCGCATTTCGTAAACTTCTGCCCCCTTTTTTTCGGAGAAACTGGGTTTTGTCCAGTACCTGAAATATAAAGGGTATGAATTATTCTAATCATAATTTAACTAAGCGGTTTAAAATCCTTTACTAGGTTTTCCGTATCGCTCATTTTGCAGCTCAGTACAAGGCTCCCTCTAAAATCCGACTAAATGAACAATATGCAATGGTAACTGCCTTTAAAAACTAAAAACCTCTGACTTTGATTTCATATCTAGTTATGGCTGCAATAAAAAATAAGCTTTTTGTGACGGTTAGCACATGTTTATACATATCTACATATATCTAATAGTACGTGGTGTAAATAAATTAAGATATTCGAACTGCTTTTATTGGGCATTTATAAGGCAAAGGAGCTTGCGTAAATAGGAAAATAATCAGTGAGTAATCAGTAATCTGAGCGCTCGAATATGTCAACTATGTACATAGATACATATGTGTATTGTATTTAATTTCTAATTTAAATTGACCTTTAAGAATGCCAAAGAACTACCCGAACTTTCATGCAACTGATTTATGAGATTATAACCACAATTAAGTAACTGCTGCTATCAAACAATTAACGTTATCTCAATGGTCACTTATTTATTGGACAAAAGTTGAGCTTTTCCTTTTAAACACTTGCTTAACACTTACACTTGATATATCCATATTCAAATTTATTTATTTCGGTATACCCAAAGTATTCAATGTTGACTGATGCTAGTCCGGCCGACCACTGGATTTTTAGCACAATCGATTTGCCAGATTTCACTGAGCATTATACGGGGATTTCCCTTTTTCAGACTTTATTCTCGTACGTACATACATATGTATACTAGATCGAAGTGCATACTCTTACATAAATTGTATATTTATGACCACTTAATATAATCAAATGCCGGTATACGATTAATCTAAACAGAGGTTATTGAATATATTTGTTATAAATTATTCTTTTGTACACTTAAATTGTTTGCATATATATAAAAAATATATATACATAGTAACAGAGCAGACTGCCGTGCGTGTTTTCGCGTAAAAAGTTTAGTCGAAACTAAAAAGAGAATAAAATAGACTCACTCATTTCACTTATTCTCTTACTTTGCTGCAGCCTAAAGAGAGAGTGAGAGAATAATCTTAAACCTCTCTCGAACAAAATGATCATACAAAGATTGAGCAATATATATTTTTATACCCGTTACTCGTAGAGTAAAAGGGTATATTGTATTCGTGCAAAAGTATGTAACAGCTAGAAGGAAGCGTTTCCGACCCTATAAAGTATATATATTCTTGATCAGGATCACTAGCCGAGTCGATCTAGCCATGTCCGTCTGTCCGTCTGTCTGTCCGTCTGTCTGTCCGTATGAACGCTGAGATCTCGGAAACTATAAAAGCTAGAAGATTGGAATTTTGCATGTAGATTTTAGAAGTTCCTACGCAGCGCAAGTTTGTTTCAAAATGGTGCCACGCCCCCTTTAACGCCCACAATCGCTTATATACGATTTTAAAAATTTAAATATTTCGGAAAAGTAAAAATGCAGTTTTATTGTGTTTATCAATACCTATCGAAATGTAGAAGAAATTTTTCAAATCGGACCATTCGTTAAAAAGTTATGCGTGATCAAAGTTTCTAGTCTCCATCTCCCTCGCACTCCCTTTACCTGAGTAACGGGTATCTGATAGTCGGGGCATCCGACTATAGCGTTCTCTCTTGTTAAATTTTGTAAACTAATAAAAACACAGGGAATTCACTGTATTAATTGATGTTCGCTACAGAGGTGGTGAAGAAAACGCCGTATTAACAATTATCTTTTTTAATTTTTAATTTTTAATATTACTACTTTTAATACTACTACTATTTCAATCTATCTGTAAGTAGACATATGTAAGAGTGGGTTTTAGAATGCCACATTGCCATATTACCAAAATTATTTTACTATGAACATTCGGCGGCTTGTGACGCCCACAGGGTGTACTGTGCATTAAGTTGGAAAATAAAAGAAGTCAACAAAATTCCAATTACACTGGACAAGACAGTTTTTAGTGGACGGATATCAGCATCAATTTATATGTACTTATATAAACATTTACAAGAATTCTTTATTTTGGAAATGTTGTTCTTAATGTTAATGTTGTTTTTATTTTTAGTTTTTTAAAATGCAATAAAAGTGTTTTTACCAAAGAAATTAAATGATTATTTTTGAAGATTTCGCATTATTCCTTAGATTTAAGGAATTTTTCTTTATTTTTAGGTTTTTCATTAGATTTAATTTTGTTAACATTTAATGTACAAAAGATTACTAGAGTATTATTATTTTTCTGAACATGCTGTTTTGTGTGGCGATGTTAGAGGTCTCAAATTTATATTTTGACTTTCCCCTCAGTAAAAATGGCTTGAAGAAAATTAACGCCCCACTAAATCCATTATAAACCAATTATGACAGATTTACGATTATATCTCAATTGTTTTATAGTTTATTAACACATTTATTGGTTAATTTCGTGCTTTCAGATAACGAGCATTTCTTTAAAACCATGTCGAGTTAACCAAAGCTGCTTGTCTAGAAAATGAACCTTTGGTAGGAGGTTGGCCATTCCACTAAGGCTGAAAATGAAGGAAGCAAACTGGCAAACTCTTGACTGATCGCATCGCCTTTGTCGCCAATGAAATGTGCAGATAGTCCTATCTGGGAAAGGGGTACATTGAAATCACCATCTTGTTTCTAGGGGGATACAAAGTTGAAATTAGCCTTATACATTCTGTAAATTCACGCTGAACTCACCCAAAAGTCAATAAAAAAGGTCAATGGTGCATTATTCTTGCCATATGAGAAATAAAGGTGAGAGGTCGCCTGTTGTCCGATGTACGCCGAAGGTAAGGACCAGTTTACTGTGATCACGTCCTCATATGGTTTGATAAAAACGCTGCTGTGATCCGGTGTTTTAGTCCTGAATTCCAAGCGAACTGTGTTGTTTCCCAGTTCTGTTTTATTCAAAAGCTCCAGTACCGGTACATATGGAGGATCAATGAGCTCCTCGCGGGGCAACCACATCATCTGCTTTTGATTCTTGACCCAACGGTGATCGTACAGGGGCATTCCGCACATCATGATCTTGTCGCAATCATCGCCAATGCTAACCAAGCCAGTCAGGTTGACCTTGGAGTTCTTCAAGGGAGCCGGTCCTCGACGATCCTGGAAATTAAACAGATAGCCAGAGTCATCCTTGACCACTGTTCCATCGTATTCGTAGAAAGTTCGTCGGACATGCTATTAGAGGAAAAGAAAGGATGTTATCTAATGCTTTCTATTAATACCAATAAAATACCAACCAAGTATGGTAATCGCTGTACGTTGGTCCTTGGTCGATAGGGAAAACCAATTTGGGTGGAGGTTGCCGTGTAAATGGTCAAAGCACTCACAACCAAAAGGCTGAACAAGATCAGGCTGGGTCGTCGGAACATATTAACTAGGGGAATCTAGACAAGAAGCTTTATCAGATCATTATAGCCTAATTAAAGTTACCATTTTCTTACCAAGAAACCCATTGCCAAAATGGTTCCCAAACCGTTCAAAGCTGAGATAATCAAATCTGGGTTGGTTGATCTGGAATCAAAAAAGAGTTAAGTAAACTCTGATGTCATGTAAAACCTATATGATCTCACCTGCCGAAACGACCCATCATGGGAATCAGGGTCACCAGGAACGTGTAAATTAGGTAGCTGTTGTAAAGGAACGGAATGACCTGGAAAATCTTGAGCACACCAGTCCAGGAGAAGCCGCGGTCGTGCAGAGTGGTCAGTAGATTAATGGCCAAGGGAATTACATAGAAGATGAGAGTCCAGGTGACCACATAAGTGGATCGCAGACCATATACTGTCAATCCAATGCCCAGGATAGCAAGTACTACGGCGTGTCCATGGAGAACCAGTTGCAGTCTTTGAGCAAATGGCACCTTATTCTGCATAGAAAAGGGTTTGCTACTTTTTCTATGTTTTTCACATATGCAAATTCCTCTACTCACGCTTCGCTGTAACTTCAGGTAGATGTATGAGGGCAGACTCAGTCCAAGTAGACTCGGGCATATGTACAGACCGATCATCAAGGCCGGAGTGCTGAAGTAGGTGAGTGAGAGTCCGTACTTGTCGAAAACATAGGCTATTGCTATGGGAATGAGCAGACCCAGGACAAAAGCTACGATCTGCAGTACTAGGATCAGAATGAACCAGCTAAAAACGTAGCCAGTGGATACACAGGAAATGCTCGCAGTGCGCCAAATAGAAACAAAGATCAGGACAAGTGCTGCTCCTGCCACAGAATAATTCAGAATTACTCCAGTGCTCTCCGTGTAATTGATGAAGTACACTCCCAGGAAATCGAAGAAAACAGCGTGACCCGTTGCGTAAGCCTAAATGATAATTAGCTTCATATAATGACTTCTGGATTACGAATACTTGAATATCTCACCGCTGTATTATCCAACTCGGTGGCATTGGAAAGGGCTCGCACAAGACTTAGCAAATTCTCTCCCGTGTTTTGTATGGATTCTCTGGGAATATTAGCGAATCTATCGTATTTGGTATGATAGAAGTAGCCCTTGATGAACTGTGCAATATCCAGACCTAAGAGAATGCGTAAATTCTTAATAAATCAACCCAACTAGTTATTTCGTAGTCTTACCAATAAGATTTCCATATTTAACAAAGATACTGAAATCCGTGTCGGAGGGCAGGATACCAGTTTGAAAGATTTCCTCAGCCATGCTGGTAGCCAGTGGGTGCTTGGCATAGTTCTTATAGTACTGTAAGATGTTTTGATTTTAGTTAAAAGGAATAAGAAATAACTGCAAGTGCTGCATACTTTCATTAGCCAGGCATGATTTGGTCCACTCTGGAACACGATTTCACGACCTCCACCACCTGCTGCATCCAAGTTGATTAGACCCCTACAAATAAAATAGTTGAAACCATTAGTAGGATTATTAATTGTTTGATTATAGTAATGGTATAGTAATTATTAAAATATATGACTTACTTGCAGTTCTTAGCCCACTTGTGTTGGGTGATAAAACCATGGGAAGCCTGCAGGGGATTCTCCTCAGCTCCGTTCATCAGAAAGACGATTGGATGCCGGAACGTTTGCCTGGTAGTGGACATGACTCGCAGGACCTCAAGGATCGCGACAATCATTTGACCGGCATCGCCGGCAGAGAAACTAGTCGGCTTAGAGTCAAAATGACTGTTGACTAACAGATAGGATTCGCTCGTGGTGTTCTTCGGACTAAGCTTGACGACGATATTCTGCACTCCCTGGTACTTGTTCACCATGGTCCAATGGATGTAAGATCCCGAGACCTGCTGTAGATCGACCTCAATATCGAAGAAATCGTCCAGGACATTCTCGTCTATCTTGGCCACTAATCCCAGCAGGTAATCGACGGTTTTGTTCTCATTACCATCGCTGCCAACTACTTTGGTTCCGATTTCGTCAAATTCGTAAAGATTGTTGTGGGCGCGTTCGGCGATGAAGACGCCCTTGGAGGCATCCTCGATGGACAAGGCCTTGGGAAGGCGGTAGAAGAGTGGCAAGACAACCGCAAAGAAAAGCAGTGCCCAGAACAAAAGGAAGCCGCTGGCCAAGTACCAAGGTCCTCGGAAGTTTTGTTCCGGCTTTCTGACTTTCGATTGACTTCGATTGGCTCGTCTGAAATCTGGAGAAAAAGCAATGCTAGTCAGCATTTAAATGGAATTTTCTTTTCTAAAAGCCATCACCAGTTTGTCCTTGTCTCCCATTTTGTCGATATATTACAACCACTCAGTCTTTAAAATCAGACTGATTTACCTTGGCAAAATCGAGGTTCTTATATACCCTTAAAAACCATCCGATACCAGATAAAGTTGATAAAAATTATAATTTTTATTGGCATTGTTTATGTCTAAGCAAATATTGATATATAATGAGCGTTTAAAGTCGATAAAGTATGATTAAAACGAGGGTGGCTTTTAAGAAATGACATACATTTTTTTAAAATTTGTAATTTCAAATAATTAGTTGAGTATATGTTTTCCTTTAAATATAATTCAAACAAGTAAAAACAAATTTACATTATGTAAAAAATAATATACTAATACTACCCAAAAATGTTGTTTTTAGTATTGTTTTCTAGAAAAAATTGTTTGAGCTACCCTCTATAGTGAGCAATAGATTTATGCTTTAATTTACTAGTAATAACAATTCTATGACCTTATCTCAAACAGGTGTATCCCCCTTTCTTCAACTTTAATTGGTCTTCTACGCCCACTTTTACTTATCAGTTCATATTCAATGCCATGAAACGATTAGGATATACCCATATATGTATGCATAGATGCATAAGCATTGAATAAATTAATAAAAAAATTATCAAGAAAATAAAAGATTATTGACTTCATGCGCGTTGATAAACTAGACCCACCGCAACCCAATCACTGTTGTTTGTGAGTACAAATGCACGCTTGTTTCCAAGTGCAAAAATAAGTTAAATTCGATTCAAATGAAGTTGTAAATTGAAAAAAAATATTTAAACAATATTATCACCTTGTTTTGGCAAGAATCAAAGCGGGTGCGTAGGGCTTGCCACATCTTGTCTGGGGGTGAACAATTCAACTGAGACGCGATTTCTCGTAGGCGCCTCATCTTAATCAGATTATTTTGACTGGAAATCCGAATTCTCACGGTCAAGTGTTCTCCGCCAATTCACAGCTGTTTTGTTTGTGTATCTGTTAAACTTATATATTTCAGTTTTCTCTTTCAGTGGGTCCAAGTTCATATATTCAAAGACCCCAAATAGTTCTCAATGTCAAAAACCGCAGAGAGCAGCTACTGTGTTCAGCGATTCCTAATTTTTCAATAAGCTTTTCGCTACCGAATCGAAAACATTTAATGGATGGTCCCAGAGGAATTCGCTTCCTATACGCAACTTTTTTGTTTACATTTGCTATGTTTTGTTTGCACAAAGCAAACCAATGGGGCATTGATACATTTATACCCGTTACTTGTAGAGTAAAAGGGTATATTGTAATCGTTGAAAAGTATGCAACAGGTAGACCAAAGCGTTTCCTACCTTTTAAAGTATATATATTCTTGATTAGAATCGTGTAAACGTCGAGATCTTGGAAACTCTAAGAGCTAGTGATTCAAAAATTTGCCACTTCATCGTTCTGTAGAGACATGGACGGTATATATTCAGTCACTATTTATCACCAAAACAAATAATTTTTAAATCGAAAAATTTATTTTAAAATTTATAAAAAAATTATATTTTTTATGGGTAATCCCGCAGTAAAATATATTTCACCGCCAGATGGCTCCACATCATTATTGTTTGCCGCGAATTATGGTATAAACCAAACTGTGAATTTTTTATTCGTGGAGTTGGTGGTGTTGTTTATAAATTTAAGTATTTTTATCTGAGAGTGATGGATGGAAAAGAATATAGAAAATACGACTTCCTTCGGATTTGTCAACTTAGAGACTGACTTCTATAATTTTCAATTTTTTATAATTTCCAAAAGACCGCTGCTGCCAAAAGTACATAGTTCTTTTATACATATATCTTACATACTAATACTGTGCATAAACATAAGTGTTTAGTTCGAGTGCCGCTGCTTCAAGTGGCGATCCGCGGAGTCGGTGTCCCGTTTGAGAGGAGTTGTGATTTCCTCTCAAAATGAGTCTAAGAGCAACGACTGGCCTTTTGGGCGGTCGTTGTTCTAGTTGTCAATAAAATTCAAAGTTGCAACAATTTAGTTTATATGTATATATAACTCGCGCCAATAGAACTGTTGGAGGCATATTTTTCTGATTAAGAGAGTAAAGGGTATTTAGTAGTCGTTCCTTGTTGTTTTTGAATTGCGTCATACGTCATACATATCTTCGACGGTGTGTTTAATAAATAATAAAGTCGAGGCTTTTGATTGTAATTATAGTATTCGTATTGTAGTTTATTAAAATATGTAATTTTTTCAGATTCTATACAGTTAATCGTTAACGCTTAATGACTACAATTAGTAAATCAGAAGCAATATCATTTGCGGCTTGGCCCTAGAAGTACCATGTCTCGTAGGTGCCCACCCAGCCCTGAATATAGGCATAGGACGGAAATCGACTGATGTAACTGCTGAGTTTCTCAATAGCAGTGATATCCTGGGTCACCCAGTGACCCCCAATGCCAATCTCCAGGGTGGGTGTGTCAAACATTGAGGTCGTCTTCTGCAAATAATAAACAGTTCGGTTGTAAGCCAAATAATTACACGCAATTAGCATGTATCTGGTTACCTCAACATCGATGGTAAACTCAAGAGGACTGTCGTCCAGTCCGTAGGAGAAGTACACCATATACGGCGGTTCCGCCTGCTCTCGGATGAGCGTGTCATTGAAGGACCAGTTCAGTATCCTGGCATCGTTTTTCACATTTATGAATATTCCCATGTGAGAGGGTCCTGCCAGAGTGAAATTGAATCGCCTTTGCGTAGGACTCTCCAGTTCGCTGCTGTCCTGCAGAACCAGCATTGGATATTCGGTGGGTATCTCTGGCTGTTCCGACGTTTCGATCCACAGGCTATATTGCCGGGCCTTGTTCCAACGGTGATTATAAAGGGGCATGCCGCAGAACATCTCCTCGTCGCAAAAGTCACTTACTTTGTGCGCCTCTCCAATGGCATCGATGTCGTCTAAAAATGTAATTGGTTTCGTTAGGTAAAACATCATAAGCCTTTCAATTTTAGTATGCTAACCTCGGGCGATCTCAAAACGTCTATCTTGGGGATAAATATACAGGCCAGACTCATCGATTCGAGTACTTCCATCTGCATTATGCAAACGACGGTGTGCGTGCTAAAATTATATTAATTCAAAAATTTAATAAAAATAATTAAGCCACAACTAAGAGTAAAACTTACTATCAAAGAGTAACGCTGTGGAGATGTCTTTTCCTTGTATGGAAATCCGGCATTAGTGACAGCAATAATTATGAACAGAATGGTGATTCCCAGGAAGCACAGCACTATCGTTCTAGTCTTGCGGAAGAACATGATTATCGGGGCCTGCAAATATTTATTTGTTATGATTATTTAACATACCTAACATACCAAATGTATTAGAAAACTAAAAAAAAAATGTACATGTCGCTATTAAGAGTGGGTAAATTTAATCAAAAATTACAAATCAAAAACTTTGAATCAAAGTGACAATACCGATTATCAGATTATATCCTAAGTTCGTTTATATATTTTTCGTAATTAAATTTTAATTAACAGACCAAATTAAGTTTTTCGGACCGTAAATGCTTATAATTGTTAAAGGTCACTAATACTTACAATGAATCCGGCAAACATGAGAGAAAATACCCAGACCAGAACTGCAATAACCATATCCGGATTTGTCGAGGATCCCGATCGTCCTTGCATCGGCAATAGAGTGGCCAGAGCCACGGTGCACAGATATGTGAAGTAGACGAAGGGCAGTATCTGGCAGACGGTGACGGCGATGGCAAACAAGTAGGCTGTACGTTAGGGTATTAAAAAAGCTATTAACCTTCAGATTTAAAATGCCAATTCCCTTACCCTTGCGGTGCCACTTTGTCACCAAATTGACAATCAGCGCAACGATGTCGAAAAGTACGCAGAGCATTATCAGATAGGCCGATCGGATACTCAGTCCGGTGAGGGTGAGCATTATTACAATCAGGCAGATGCAGTGCGAGTGCATGAAGAGCTGGATGCGGAAGCCCAGTCCCAAGGGATCCCTTTTCGTCTTCTCCAGATACAGAGCCGGTAGAATGCTCAACCCAAAGATAATGGGTGCCAGGTACAGGCCAAAGATAGTCCAAGAGGAGGTGAACCAGGACATCGAACGATCCACACCATCCATAAAAACAGCAACCAGCAGGGCGAGACCCACGGCCAAAACCAGAGAGATGAACTGGATGGCCACGGTGATGGAAAAGCGGAGCAGGACACCCTTCCAACTGCAGCCCGATCGAACGCACATAAAGTAAAGGGATATGCCGATTCCCAGTAGGGCAAGTAATGTGACCACCACATTTACAATGATGCTCGTTGTCTCCGTGTAGAAGATCATGAACCAGCCAAGGAAGTCATAGAATATATTGTGCCCTTCGGAGTGAGCCTGAAATAAGAGTACAATTAGAGCTTGCCAAGAACTATCTTTTTGGTTAACCTACAGCAGTATCATCCACCTCGGGAGCATTGGCCAAGGATCGGGCTAGTGATAGTACATTATCACCTGTGTGCTGGAAAGAGGCCCGGGGAAAAGCATTGATCCTGTCGTATTTGGTGTGGTAAACATATCCATTGAAGATGTAAGCCATGTCCAGACCGGGAACTCCTCCAAAATCACGAAAGATGCGAAAGTCCGTGTCGGAGGGAATATAGCCAGCTTGGAAAAGTTCCTCGGCCAGTGTGTTAGCAAAAGGATGCGGCACATTCCGGTAGTATTTCATCAGCCAGGGATGATTGGGTCCCGATTGGAACAGAATCTCCCGACCACCGCTTCCTGCCGAATCCAGGTTAATGAGAGCTCTGTAGAAATACAAAATAATTAAGGTCATTTAAGTACCTATCAAGTCTAATGAAGATTTACTTATTATATGTGCCGAAAATCTTTTGTGATTTCAAGGCACTAGACTAGTTGCCTAAAAGTATGCAATTTTATATTCTCATTAAATGGAGATAAGCTAAGTAAATATAAATATATATATTGCTTGATTGTGACATAGTATTTGTGGATCTTATCGAGCGGATATCAAAATTGATTCTAAAACAAATGATATTTCTCTAAGTAAAATATATACAATTTATTTATATATCTGTTTTGGCTACTTTAATCGCGTTTAGAGAGCTCAAACATGATTTAAGACCATTATTTAATTTCATCATTATAAATACTCAGATCTAAAGCTTTCAAACTTTTTCAAAATAGTTCGAATAAAGTACTATTCGTAAAATAAAGATCACACCCACTTGCAGTTCTTGGCCCACTTGTGTTGGGTGATGAAGGCGTGCGATGCCTGCAGGGGATTCTCCTCGGCTCCGTTGAAGAGGAAGACAATGGGATGGGCCAGTGGTTCGTCGGACTTGGCTATCACCCTCATCACCTCCAGCATGGTCACGACCATGGACCCATCGTCGCCGGCTCCAGGACTTCCCGGCACCGAATCGTAGTGACTGTTGATCAGCAGGAAGTTCTCGTTGGTGGAGTTCTTCTCGGAGAGCTTCACCACCACGTTCTGGATGCCCTGGTACATGTTCACCATCTCCCAGTGCATGTAGGCCCCACTGGCCTGCTGGACATCCACATCGATCTCGAGGCGGTCGCTCATCTCGGCCTCAATCTTGGCCACCTCGGCGCGCAGGAACTCCACGGCGGCCTCCTCGTTGGCCATGCTGCCCACCACTCGCGGTCCGATGCGGGTCAGCTCAATCAGAGTGTCCTCGGCCCGCTGGGCGATGAAGGCACCGGGATGGCTGGCCTCGTCGCTCCTGGTCAGTGGTTGGGGCATGTGGTTCATCTGGGTGTTGACCAGTGAGAGGTAGAGCACCAGCCAGAATCCGAAGAAGGCGGGGGCATAGTACCATTGCAGCTTTTTGGGCACCTCAAAGTCCACATCAATGTGATATTTGGAGTTGAACTGAGGGAAGTTAGAATTAGAGAACATTTGTCAGTCTTACTTTTTTTAGTGGCTCTTATAAAGTTCTAATAACTTCTTTTTGTTTAAAAATTGGGCTTATGTGGCACTTTTAGATGTCTACAGTTTAGAATATATCACTTTAAAATAAAAAAACAGATAATTCATTACTTCACCTATTCTCTAAGAATTTTAATTGATTATTAGGGATACAAAAATAAAAACAAAAACAAAGTAATTTTAATATTTCTCTAGTTACTGATATTAATTTGTAATCCTTTATATTTTAACTTGGCTAACTTGCTTGGTTTGATATTAGTTAATTCAGGATAGAATCACTTCAAGATTTTAATAGTTTTTTTGTTTCCAATGAAATCGCTCTAACTAACGACCGTAGATTCAATAAGAACAATTATAGCTTAGTTTTATGAACAATCAATATCTAATCTCTGTCTGGCAGCTGCATGTCTAAGCGAACACAAAAATTCCCGGCTAAAAGGAATTAACTTTTAATCTGGAACAGTCCGTGAACTTCAGAATGTCTGTGCAATCTGAATTAAGTATCGATATTGAGGCCCATAACCGCCGACATCGAAGAAGAACTTGGCCCACCCCTTCCAGGAATATCAGCTGGAAATTTTAACTTTTATTGCAAACATCTTAAGCGATAAGAGTGTTAACAGGCATGGTTTTCTAATTTTCCTTTTGATTTTCTGAGTAAACAATGCTCGGCACAAAAATCGTGCTTTTGCTCGTCGCGTGTTCACTTCATGATTCACGGGCGTGTGGTCAACGTGAGATTGTCGAGGACCATAAAGCCGCTGAAGTTGCTGCCATAAAACGATAACGCCTTAATAAATAAGTAACAGCACCTTTTATCGCTCGGAAACGCTAAGAAATTTGCAATTTCTGCTGTATTGCGGCGTCTTTGAAGTGTGTAATTCTGTGAAGGTTTCTTAATCGATTTCCTATCTATATGACTTTTTAATTTTAACTATGTAATTTTTGCTGACTTTTCGTGACTGCACATTGTACGTTGACCAGAGATTTTACACGTATCCTGGAATCTAATGATGTTTTTGGCACACTTGAGAAATCCGAATAATCCTAATAAATAAATAAATTAATTCACTTATAACTGATTGGAGGTGATTAAATACCAATTCGTTGAAGTCTTTGGATAAGATTGCTAAACATAAAGTTGCACTTTATTTATAATTTATAATGTCCTTCATATATAAGGCGATGTTTTAAAAACAACGATTAATGTTAAGAACGGTACGCCAGCAGTTTTGCCTGCTAAATTCATCAGTTATTTTGTCACTGGCATTTTATGAATTTGCAATAAAGTATTCTAAACATTAATCCATTTAATTTCACTGTATAGACCACTTGAAATACGTACACTCATTTTGTATTGGATTTTTATTCACTGGTTTTCTGTTGCAACTATAAAGTCCTTCTATATCCTTCCAAACACTTGAAGGAATTCCACCTTAAGGACTCTATTAAACACTGCCGGACCGCTCCGGTCTTTTTATCCTTCAATTCACCCGCAACCGGGGACCTCAACCTTCGAGTTCCAATTGAGGTACAAGTCGCTTCGGTTCCCTAAAGATATACGAAGCACGGCGACATTGAAGGTCTGGAGAATTCGGTTACGGGGAGAATTATCGGTAGTTTCTCTGATATCAGAGCAACTGTACGATAAACACTTCGCGTTAAAATGGGTGGGGATTTTATTAGATTTCTTGTTTTCGCATTCGATGAGCTACGTGGGGGCAACAGCAATTGCTAACCGATTTTTATCTTTATGGCTGACAAGTTGTCCAGTTGTATCGTAAAGGGTACAGAAACAATTTCCCCGATATGGATTGCAGTTCTTAAGATACTCGATTCGGCGGCACTGGCGAATTAGAAGTTTGGAACCATATAATCTACTGTCGTCACTTCTATGACGCCCATAAAGTTTTGGATAGGGGAATGTTATGATGTCGTAGTGCTTCCCGTTCCCGTAATCCCGAGATGTGGCTCTTAGCTAGCGTTTCCTCCGACTGACTGGGCTTGGGTTCCAGCTCCCGGGCACACCCCATGCCAATCCAAATATCAGCCCCACTTGTTTCGCCTTTTTACAGAGTTTACTAATTAATTTGTGCCCGGTTGTTGTACGATTGTCGCTGATTTCATTCCATTTTCGTTTATGTGTCATCCCACCTTTGTCTGCCCAATCTTCCATCTCGTTTTCACTCGTAGCCAAGAGTCCTCTTCTGGGTTTTGGGTTCCGCTGATTTCGCTTGATTAACAGATTGTTTACGTATTTGAATTGCTCTCGCATGTATTTCAGATCCACCTGTCTATTCGTAATTGTCGTTGTAGGTTGTTCCGCCCGAGTGGATTCGATAGCTGGGAAACTGGCGGGCGGCTATCAAATTATGTCAACCGTTTTCTCGCTCGACTGCACGAAACATAGAGCTACCTATCTGCCAGTTTTGGATGTGTCTAAACACCTAGGAATGCCACGCAGAAACTTTGTTAATTTCGCATAGACATCACTTAAAACTGGTAATTACAATCTTCTTGAACGATATACTGAAATATAGTTAGTGCTTACTAAAAATTATTGTATATCATGTTGGGTGAAAGTCTTTTTTCTTCCGATGAGATTAAAAAAATCAAGAGGAAAGGTGAAAAGAAAAAAACTTAAATTTTCATTAAGATGAAGAATGTAATTGTTAAGATAATTTGGTGGCACTTGCGAAATAAAAGTTGGCACATTGGACACCAAAAGGCCTTTGCAGGCACATGCCTACCATTTTTCATAAATACATTTATGGATTAACTGATACCATCCCATTGGCAGTCAATAACTAAAAATTCCTCTTAGTATCGTGTTGTTTTTCTAGGGTAAAGCTAGGGCATTTAACAACTTGTAATTACCTAATTAAGCGATGTCTTTTGATCAAGGCATATTAAAGGTGCAATAAAGCTGATACAAATTCCAGTGGTTGTTATGCCCCTTATCAATCAGAAAAAAATATTAATAGTTTTTTCCTTGTAATTCCCAATCGCTTAGATTACATTACAGTAAAAACAAATATGACAATTCGTAGATGGATTCGTTATGGATATATATTGCTAAGGAAACTTAACATTTATTTCCCAACTCTTTTAAAAACCTTTTCAGATTATATATATTTCTACAATCCAATTCCATTTATTCCATACTTCGTATCTATCATTAAAAATTAGTTTGTTAATTATTTTAATTGGCTTAAAACTATTTCTAATTACTGTTTGTTTTCTGCTTTCAACTATAAATTATTTGTCCATTGAATTCCTTGTTGTTCTTATCGCTTCAAATGTTGCTTTTGTGTAATACCCAATTGTTTAGATTAAATTGTGGCGATTCTTATTTATGGAATAAATATAAACATATTTGGAAACCAAAGCTATCTGGTTTTTGTCGACTAAGGGGGAATTCGTCTCAAGTGTCTTTGTGTCTGGCCAGTTCTTATCTTCCGAGCACTGTCACTTTTCGCAACTCAAATGGTCTTCAAGGAATCCGAGAAATCACAGTGAGTTCCCCGCTAATACCCACTAATCGCCTGCACTTAATCTCAACCACCGGCAATTACGGATGTAATCGCAATACCAATACGGATGAACAGCCCATTCTCCTCCGTCCTGCTGCCCCCAATGTTCCGTTGTACCTGTCAAATAATGTGATTAGGTGTCCGCCTCTGATAACTCGATACTTGTGATAAGCCTCTGGCTCTTGAGCTAGTGAGCACTGAAATCCGCAAACAAATCCGTCACGTCACGTATAAAATTGCCGGTGCCACGTTCCGGCGTTTTAGTTGGCCTCCGTCCGTCAGGCGGTTACATTACGGTAGTGAGAAAATCAGGAGAATCGTACTTGCATTTCGATTACGGTTATACGGATTAGTTCGACCAGTCATCAGGCAACACTACACACGTGAGTGCGAGCGGGAGGTACGAATGAGGAAGAAGAAAGGGGGAAAAGAGAGCGAAGCCTGTGTTCTCTCCGCCTTTTGGTGACCCCGATCTCCTGCCGCGGCGAAAGAGAGGGCCAGAGAGTTGTGTCGCCAAGCGAACAGCGCAGCGCAGCAGCCGCAGACGATCGCCAACCGTCGAAGGGGACAGTTGCTCTCCGCCTCCAATCAGCTGATCCTCAGCAGCCAAATTGTGACCGCGATCGCATCGCCCACTAGTTTCAGTTTATTTTCGGTTAGATATGTGCTAATAAGCCCGCGAGTGCCAACCAATTGTGCCGGCCATTCCACAGTGCAAGTGATCGTCTTCCCAAAACGAAGAGGAAGACACTTTCTGCAGGCCGAAGGTAACAGAAACAGTTGCCAGGCTTCTCTTCGGCCTCCCCCTTCCCTCTCTCTCTTCGGGGGCTTTCTTCTTTCAACAAACAACCGCAAGTGCAGCCGCAACTTCCTTTCTTCAGCAGGTTATTGACTCAAGCCCTTGCTGCGTGTCGCGTTCTATGTGTATTTATGTTTGAATTCCGTCTGCATATGCATCTGCATTTGTATCCCCGTATCTGTATCTGTGCTGGCGATTGTTTTCGTCCCAACTTCTTTTCTCCAATGCGTCTGCCTGAGTTTAGTCCAAACAAATGCGGTTCTTGTCGCGAGCTGATGTTGTTTGTATACCTCGTAATCGAAGTGAGAGGAAGGGTATATAGGAGTTAATGAATAAATACTATTTTTCAAAAGAAAGTAAAGTCTTTAAATCTTTAAAGTCATTGTGACGCTATTTAGAAGTGCTTACCAACACCCAAATGACCTATAGTTTAGGAATGATCAAAAAAAAGTTAGCCTTAAGTTATTGGAAATATTAAATAAAAATATATGGGATAGGCTCACTTTTTATGTCTTGCCTTCTAAATTGTGGATAATTTTGACAATTTTAAGATTAACGGTTTTCTAGAGTATTTCTGGTATACTCGTATTGGTACTAAAAGACTAAACCGCAATGCCCATTTAGCTTTCCAGAATACAATAACCGAAAAAGACTTCGTGAGACCTCTTAAAGATCTCTCTTCCCTAAGATGCTGTTATTGGTAACTGAGCTTCGACTATAAAATAATATAATCGATAAAATAAATAATGATCTGTAATTCTTACCAACAGGTATCTTACAGTCCGTAGCGCTGTTATTTGTTTGTTGCTTTTGCCGGCTTTGCTTTCCCGTTGTTGTCACAGTTGATTGCCGACGCCTCTGCGAACCCAAGTTTTGTTTTGGATTTTCCTTTTTTTCCAATTTCTCTCATTCAAATTGTCTTTAAATAGTTCCTCCTATGCTCCCCTCATGGTTTCTTCTTTTTTTGATATTAAGTGGGCGTGGTTCCCGCACAGAGCGTTCCCTCTGTTTGTTTGTTTTTGTGGGAAGTGATTAGTTCAATCGATAAGCGCTTAAGATGGTTGAAAAACGAGAAGGCTACTTTTGCACAGCCCATTTGTTTTTACCGCCTCACTTTTAATCGCCGAGAAGTTGCCTTCACGCTCTTCTTCTTGCCGCCGGCGAGGGTCACCTAGAAGTCAGTGGAAAATGGGTCGGTGTTGCACTGTAATCCAAGTGGTATTTTGCATTCTGTCGCGGAACAGAATAAAAACATTTCGCTTAATTGCCTCAGTAGCCAGTACTTTAACAGCCCCGCACCCGCTGCTCTCATTCGTTTTTAGGACACACTTGCCGTCAGATCTCATTTTAGTGGCCATCCATATTAAAGACTACAAAATGTCAACGGGTTATTGGGCATCATAAAAGAAAGATCACTCAGTTGTAAACCCATATGGATTATGAAAATAGAATGCATTAAGTATCTCATATAATCGCAAATTGGAAGCTTTTTTAGTAATCATTAAATACAATTTTTTTTAGAAAAAATAATACATTTTTCTTTTTTAAAAATGCTTGCTTTCATCATAATTTTATCAAAAAAACTAAACTCAACATCTGACGCATCCATAGTGTATTTTCAATTCGCTACAAGCAAACAAACAAAATTTGTTATTAAATATTTCCCACAACGAAACTCAGCCGCATCACATGTGTGAACATTAAACGATAATATGTATTAGCCCAGTTGGCTATAAATAAGAATGAAATACCGCTCAAAAAATTACAAAATGTGTCTCGTTCAATGCTGGTTTCCTCCGAATGCCTATGTTTTATTTGCCTAATTCGTTAGATTCCCAAATATCGAGTATAAATATGAACTCATTGTTTATTTTTTATGATTGCATTATTTCAATGTCGTTGGCTGATTTGCGTTTGTCGATACTTTTCATTTAAACGTGAGGTTTTTATTTTTGTTTAGTGCCAAATGGTCAACAGATGTTTTCCCGTCTGCAATTTGGACTCGATTTTATGTAGACTTTAAAAAGTTTTTCGTTACAGAATGAGAAAAAGATTTTCCAGCTAATCTTATGACAACATTTCTATTATACTCTTTTCACGAATTTTTGGGTACTCAAGATTTTGTAGCCTACTTCATTTCCTGCCCACTTGACACTTCGTGGATCCGATAAGTATTATCTGTGGCAGATGCTTTGAATAATCACTGCTTGGATTCGATAGGGTGGCGTATTCACCAGGCAAGAACCTCATTCATGTTTCGAGGTTTGTGTTCATGGTTATCGAAATATTTTCTGATTGATTTCAATGGAACATAGAATAGTTGGAATCCGTTTGCAGTGACAGCTTTAAGTTGCTCGCACTCGCTTATCACGGCCACTAATTATTTAATCGATGCTCGACGCTCAAGTGGTTGCATTAACTTATCCCTTTCCACATCGGTCGAGAAAGGGGGTGATTAGCCCCGATGACATGCCACACATGCGACCATAATCACTGAGCTTTATCAGCCGAATGCGTCACAATCGGAATTCGACAATTGAACTTAATTAGTGGGGTGCACTGACACTCTTCGTATTTTGTCATGACCAATAAAACGAGCATGTTAATCCCTTTCAGGCCACTATGAAATCAAAGTACGAGAACATGAAGATCATCTACAACCGTAGCAAGATCGGCTGGTATTGGGCTCCCCTGTTTGTGTCCTGCTGGTTCCTTCTCTTCTACCTGGTGGTGATTCCCAGTTTCCATCGCATGCCCAAGCTGAAAACCCTCGAGGATGAGCGCCAGCAGCCGGGTCAGTTCATCGGGGAGCGGGCGGAGAACACCCTACTGAGGCTCTCGAAGATCGGACCCAAGGTCGTGAGCAGTCCGGCCAACGAACAGGTGGCCGTTCAGTTCCTGCTCAACGAAATCAGAGACATCATAAACGATGCGAAGACGGACCTCTACGATATTGAACAAAATGTCCAGGTCGCCTCCGGAAACTATCTCCTCTGGTCCATGGTCAATGTCTATCAAAGCATCCAGAATGTGGTGGTCAAGCTGTCGCCGAAGAATGCCACCAGTGAGGCCGCTCTCCTCATCAATACCCATTTCGATTCGGTGCCGGGAAGCTCGGGAGCCGGAGATGCCGGCATGATGTGTGTGATCATGCTGGAGGTGCTGCGGGTGATCACAAAGTTCGAGACCCCACTCAAATACTCAGTGGTGTTCCTCTTCAACGGAGCCGAGGAGAATCCGCTGCAGGGCAGCCACGCGTTCATCACCCAACATCCTTGGGCTCAGAATGTCAAGTAAGTGGAGCTCCAATATATCGACCTTTTTAACAGGTTTAGGCATGCCTTTTATTATTTTATTTTACAGTCGAACTTTCATAACTTAAAGCCAGCAAAAAATTGAGTTTTGAATACTTCGAGTTATAGAATAAAGACTATTTTACGTGCAATTATTATTATTATCTATATTGCCAACACAATTAATTCGACTTATAGAGGCTGCATGTATATCAGAAGATATAAAACTTGAATTAAACGAACAATTTTACTGTTAAAGTTACGAATTAAATTCAAAGTTGCTATTTTTTGGACTCTAATTTAATTGTAAACTTTATTATTTTTCAGAGCGGTCATAAACTTGGATTCAGCTGGCAGTGGAGGACGGGAAATTCTATTTCAATCCGGACCTGATCATCCCTGGCTGATGAAGGTATGCCACCAAATACTATTTTTGACTTATTTTGTAATTGTTTTTTATTCTTTTCATATCTTTAAGTACTACGGAAAGAACATAGTTCATCCGTTTGCCTCCACTATCGGAGAGGAATTGTTCCAAAATGGCTTCGTTCCCTCAGAGACGGATTATCGCGTGTTCCGCGACTACGGCCATATACCCGGTAATATAAAGTGAAGTACGAAAATACCTAATCTAATAACACTTCTGTTCTGTCAGGTCTCGATATGGCGCAGACTTTGAATGGCTATGTGTACCACACCAAATATGATCGCTTTAATATCATCCCGCGTCGCACTTATCAACTGACTGGTGAAAATATCTTGGCTCTGGTCAAGGCCCTGGCGAATGCAGAAGAACTGGAGAATCCGTCGGTGGGTAAATCGAAAGACTTTATTTAAAGTATATGTTTGAAATACAAATGTTCTCCTTTTAGAAATACGCCGAGGGTCATATGATATTCTTTGACATGATGGGCTGGTTCTTTGTGTATTATGCGGAGAGCACGGGTGTCATTATCAACATAACCGTGTGTGTCCTGGTGTGCATCACGATTGTGGGATATATCTGGATCATGTCTAGTAGTACGGGAATGTTCCGCCGACGCATCTGGGCAAAGTTTGGCATTCTGACCGCTCTCCAGGTGGCAGGAGTAGCCCTGGGCCTGGGACTGGTCATGTCGATAGCCCTGTTCCTAGACGCAGTGAATCTTCCGATGTCCTGGTTTTCGCAAAACTGGATGCTCTTTGGTCTGTACTTCTGTCCCATGATATTCGGCATGGGCATAGTGCCGGCTATTTACTTCAGTCGCACCAAGGAGGTGAGTTAAGATTTAATTAGTATTTAAATTCTATTAATTCTTCTTTCTTTAGCATGGATTGCCATTGGGCTATGGCATTCAACTATTGATGCATTCGCATTGTCTGATCTTGACCATTGTCACGGCCATTATGGTGAGCTACAGTATTCGTTCGGCCTTTGTCATAATGCTCTGCATTGGCTTCTACACACTCTCCGTTCTGATCAACATGGCCACGAAGGCTCATAAAACAAGTAAGCATAACTTAGAGTGTTATGCTTCGATTTAATTAAATGTATACATTTTTATTTTATAGACTTCCTCTGGCTCATACCGCACTGCACTTGCCAGGTGCTGCCCTTCATGTTCTATACGTACTGCTGCTATGCCTTCTATGTGGTTTTTGTGCCCATGCAGGGACGCGAGTGTAATACCAATCCGGAGCTCTTAATGGGTTTCTTTACGGCCCTGATGGTCCTACTTTTTGCACCCTTCCTGGTGCCTTTGTTCTGCTTGTTCCGCAAGTCAAAGACGATTATTTCAATGTTTGGCATCTGCACGGTGGTATTTATTATATTTGCCGCCACACCGATTGCCTTTCCCTACGCCGAAAAGACGGCTGCTCAGCGATTCTTCGCAGTGGTAAGTCTACATTTTTGGCTTTTGGTCTTTAACTTATAGGATTTAAAATAAAATTTCTTTCTACAGCACACAGCTCGAACCTTCCACAATAGTGATGCAGCGAGCACAGTTAGCCACACGGATTCAGGATATTTTGTCCTTCCGGTCGATCGTCGTCCTCACACTGTGGATGATATTCTTTTTGAGAACACCAACTTTACTAAGGCGGAACGTATGGACTGTGATTCGGAGCTCATGTGTGGCTTTCCCATTTACAGCTCGCGCTGGTTGAATGCAATGTAAGTTGGGCATGCTTTGATGGTTATACCATAACTGAAATACATTTTAATTTTTCAATAGTGACAACAGCTATTTTGTACCTGGCCCCGAACCCAATAAGGCATCTATTCCTACTCTGACCATTTTGGATAAGACAAGTAGTTCGGGGACGAATATTAGATTTGATCTGGAGGTCTTAGGGCCGTCTCACACGAGCATATTCATTATGCCCTTAAACGATAGCAAACTAGTGGATTGGTCCTTCACCAAAGAACCATTGGAAAACAATGTAAAGCCTCCTTATTATGTGTACTGGTCATACGCATTGGATGCCACGCCCCTGCAGTTTTCACTGGAATTTGAGGTACTTAATCTACTAAGATAATCTACCCTGAAATCGTTAATTAATCATCTTTTTCCAGCACGACGATCCTGATTGGTCAGGGGGTACTTTTAAAATCGCCCTAATGGGCCACCGATTAAACGACGATATATATGTAACGCAAGACTTCAGGGAGTTCTTGGCCACATTTCCACCCTGGGCGCACGTTAGCTCCTGGCTTGGATCCTACAGCAGTTGGCAACTTTAAGCCTAGGCCTGGAGTTCCTTTACGAACCCAACTCAATCCCATTTTTGCCATGACACCTCAGCTACTGTTAACTTTGGTACTACTAATCAGTTTTATCAATAACCCTAATCCAACGAACAAAGTGTCAATACCCATGGCACGCCTTAACTTGTACTTGTATTTACGATTAGACCAGTGTAGTTACTACTTTGTAATTTTATTAAAATATACTATAAATTATTTATTAAGATAAGCCAACTTTGGAGTCTATATTCTCATCGCTGCCTAGACGACCCAGCTCTCGAGCGCGGAGAACCAGTCGGTGGTGTAGGTCCAGTCGGGGAATGTTGCGAGGAACTGCTTGTAGTCCTCGGTATAGTGCTCCGGGTGGTATTGGAAGTGCTCGCTGACCACCAGCTTGAGGTAGGGTCCTTCTGTGTTGCTCTCCTCGTGCTCGAGCTCCACCCAAAAGTTGAGGGGCTCTTCAGTGAGAGAGTATATGGCATATATTAGATACGGCGGCGTGTGCTGCTCCTCCAACGGTGTCTTGTCGAAGGACCAGTCGGTGACCCGGACTTGATCGAGGGGATCTATGTACATCATTACGCGATCGCTGGCCTTCAGGTTGTACTCGTAGCGCACCTTGTTGCCACCCAGAGATTGCTTCGACAGCTGGGTGAGATTGATGCTCAGTGGGATGACCGGTGGCGTGCTGTAGATCCAACGAGCTGACTCTCTGCGAGGGTAGATAAAGCATACAAAAGGTTAACCAATGGGTAAGGATAGGTTTTTGGTTTTTAGCTTACTTCCAATCTATCCAGCGACCACTGTACAGGGGCAGACCACAGTAGGGCTCGGCGGCACAGGTGGCTGCCGTCCAACTTTCGGGCTCTGCATTCTTGAATGTGGAGTCATCCAGTTCATGGAGTCGGGTATCCACAGGCTGAATATAATAGCCAGAATCCTGTTTGGTACTACCATCCAGATTGTGGAAGGTTCGCTGAGTGTGCTGATAAAGAAGATGAATTAAATGTTAAGGTAACTCCATAAATATTTCTTGAAATTGAAAACCCACCAGCACATAATAACGCTGCGGAGCCACTTCCTTTACAAATGGAAATCCGGCGGATGTGGCAGCCAAGATAATAAATATTATTGTTATCACACCAAACGATGAGAATATAATCTTGGGCTTGCGGAATTTGTGCATGATGGGGATCTGTAACGAGTCAGCGTTAGACTATTATAAAAATAAAGGGTTTTAATAGTCGACTTACCACAAAACCAGCGTAGTTTATAGCAGTCGCAATGATGAAGACAGAGACCATGATATCGGGACTGCTCTCAGGACCATCGCGACCCTCCATGGGCACAAAAGTCACGAGTGTTGCATAGCAGATATAGTTGTAGAAGAAGAAGGGCAGAATCTGGCACAGCAGATGAACTGTCACAAAGTAGGTTTCTGTGGGCAAAGCAATCTTTAGAGATCTCCAAAACCAAGTGAATGTTGCGAAAAAACCTACTCTTTAGCGTAAGCTTAAGGATGATTTGCAGGAGGACGGAAATCGCGTAGAAGAAGACCCCGACCATGGGGAAGTAGCTGGATCGAATGCCCATACTGGTCATGATGATGCAAAGCAATGCCAGCAGGATGCACTGGGCATGCATGAAGCAGGCGATCGTCTGATCCAACTTCATGTTCGTTTTTCTCTTCGTGAATCCAATATAAAGCGCCGGGAGCAGGCCAAAGACGAAGAACAAAGTGCAGAAGTACAGGCCAAATGCCATCCATTTTCCGCAGTACCAGGATTCGGCTAGTCCCACGCCTTGCATGAAAACAGCCACCAGAAGGGTCAAGCCACAGGCCGCCAATAGAGTTCCCGCTTGCACCAGGAAGATGATGCCGAATCGCATCACCACCGCCTTCGGGGCATCCGCACCATTGTCCAATGTCATGATGTACACCGAGGTGCCAATGCAGACAAAGGCCGCCACGGAAACGACCACATTGATGGCCACGCTCACGGATTCGGTGTACGTCATCATGAACCATCCCAAGAAGTCGTAGTACACAGTGTGTCCCTTCTCGTGGGCAGCGGTGTCATCCAATTCGGGGGCATTGGCCAGGGCCCAAACCAGGGGCAGTACGTTCTCCCCCGTCGACTGGTAAGTGCCACGCTCCACGTTGCGGAAAGTATCGAACTCAGTGTGGTACACATAGCCATTCATCACGCTGGCCATGTCCAGACCGGGAACTCCTCCGTAATCGCGGAAAATGCGAAAGTCGGTGTCCGACGGGATAAAGTTATTCTGGAACAGCTCCTCGGCCAAGGTCTGGGCATAAGGGTGTGGCACACTCGCCTGGTAGTATTTGGCCAGCCATGGGTGGTTCGGACCCGTCTGGAAGAGCACCTCGCGTCCACCGGCGCCAGTGGAATCCAGGTTCACCAAAGCTCTGAAGACATGTTAATAAAATGACTTTCTTATTTTTATAATTTTATGCAGTTTTTCCTAAATAAATTAAACAATGTATTACACCAAAATAATAATGAAGGTAAACTTTTCTAATATATTTGGGTGTGCGAAATTTGGCCCTTCAAAAGGGTGAATGAAGAAATTTTTCATTAAAGTTACAAAAATAAAGGATACAAATTGTTTAAAACAAAGAATGTAGTCGTATACTTTAGCTTAAAGCTCTGTTTAAAAAAAATTTAAAACTGTTTAAAACTAAATATTTTAAAGCCAAAAAGTTGCTCCTTTTCATATAATTAAAGAGATTTGAGACTTATAATAACGTGGTAAAATAATATCGTGGACAGAAATTAGAAAAGTATCTTTTGTTGATGTAAAAAAATTCTCATTTGGTAACACAGTGTAATTTTAAATTAGGGATTTTTAAGGTGATCATCCTTACTTGCAGTTCTTGGCCCACTTGTGCTGTGTGATAAATCCATGGGACCCGAGCATGCAAGCCTCCTCGGCGCCGTTAAACAAAAAGACCACGGGATGGATGAGTTGTTTTTCGGAACGCGAGATTACGCGCAGGGTTTCCAGCATGACCACCACCATGACGCCATCATCACCTGCAGCAGGTGTTTGCACCTCCGAATCGTAGTGGGAATTCAGCAGCAAATAGTTCTCATTGTTCGAGCTCTTCTGGGATATTTTTACCACCACGTTGGATAGATTTCTGTAGGAAATGGTCATGCCCCACAGGTAAAAGCCGCCTGAAGAGTACTGCGTGTCCACCTCAATGTCGTACAGATCCAAGCGGGCCTCGTCCTTGATCTTCTGAATCTCTCGCAACAGAAAGTTAACCGTGTGCACCTCGTTGTTAATGGATCCGCTCATTTTGTTGCCAATCGCCGAGTACTCGGCCAAATGCTGCATCGCCCGTTCGCCGATAAACTCATCCGGATGCTGGGCCTCATCGACCTGGTACAGCATCTTCGGATAGCTATGGAAGCTGGGCAGCACAGTGGCGTAGAAGATGGCAAAGGCGGCCGCCGCGTAAATGGGGGCTCCGAACCAAGGCCACTTTTTGTCCCTGGACTTGCCACCATCTTTCTCGTCCGTAATGTCAAGGATTGAGAAAGTCATCTGAAATACAAATGGCTTGGTAAATAAAAATTAAGTAAAAGTCTACCTCAAAAATTATTTCCTAAAAATTATTTAAAATGGACTTGTTCATAGAAACTTGTAGAACATTTGTTGCATATTTTCGAGCTTTTTAAATACCCAAATGGTAAAAAGTATAGTTTGCCTCTAGGCATTTTGCAAAGAACACATTTTTTCACCACTTACGATCTATAATCTTTAATAATTTATAAAGTCATTCAGTCGAACTGTAGTTATAAAATTGTTAAAAACTGACATCATAAACTTTGTTGTAGAGTGTAGAAAGGTCGTAAAACGTATATCAATTTCAGAAATATGTTTTTAGTGATATAAACATCGGACGACTGTATAGTCATTTAGCTGTCATGGGAACAATCGGGAAAAAGGGCAATAAAATTATAACTTCGTTTTTTATAACTTATACCCAAATACACAAAAATAGTCATTTTAAGGATTGCAGAATTACGGTTTTACTTTTATAAAAATCAAACGACTATATCTTATAGCTTAGATGGGAACGATAGAATAATGTATCCGAACATCATCCTAACTTTATTTTTTTAAGCATCGAATTATAGAATATAGAATATAATAGACATTTTTGTAACAGCTGCAAGGGTATATATATTTCCGTTTAGTGAAGTTTGCTTCCGTTCTTGATTTTATTGAGAGATATTGTCATTTTAAAGGAACACATTTTTACGGTATTCACTTATTGTACCCACTAATATTTTATTTATACATATCTCATAGTCATTCGATCGAATTGAAGTCATAAACGTTTTCAAACGTTTATAAGGTTTTTAAAACAGAGTACATAAAGTTCGTTGGAGAGTGTGGAAAGGTGGTAAAGCAATTAGCACCCTAGCTTTATGGTCCAGTAATTTCAAAGGCAACAAGCACTTGGTCTAAAAACAGCTATCGATAACATAGGTAGGTCCCATTTTATGGGCGATATAAATTTCCTTATCGCATATGGATACTCGAAGAAAGCGAAGAAAACAAGGTTCTTTTTTTGCAACGATCACTTGATTTGAATATTTCGTTGAGTTCGGACCTTATCGCCAGACGTTCCTTTAACTTTTTTGACAGCAAGCCTTATATTTTCAGAGGAATTTTCTGCAATCGCGGCACTATCACTACGAGGACACTCTGAGATCCTAATCAGTCGGACACAGTGAATTATGGTAACGCACTAACCTTCAGATCGCACGCGACTCGGACCCGAATCAAACGTGATGAAATACAACCGCACCACAGCCCAACCGTTGGGAAACTAAGACGTCTAGAGCCTGTTCCCAAGAATTAAGTAGGGCCAGGTTCGGCGCCGTGGATCGCTTATCGCCCACGGCAGCGATAATAATTAAATATTATGATTATAATCGTTGATTCTGGCGCATAAAACGATTACATCCTGCGATAGGCGATACCAGAAGCCTTTTCTCTTAATAAAACTTTATAGGCCAGTAGTTAACGCGATTGGGAACCACATTCGGCATAGATCTTTCGGTGGGGTCCAAAATCTAAAAAATCTACATAAAGTGTAATTAAGATAGGTTGGGCGGGTAATTTGGGAAATACGATCATCTTATCGGTAGACATAAATCCTAAACGTGTAAATCTGATAAGGGCTTATAAGCCCTTTAAATTAAGTTAAGTTAAGGTCACGTTTTTTATTATTTGTTTCTAATCGACCGGTAATATCATACACATATCTTCAAAAGGGAATATTTAAGATATTAGGAAAGGTTTTCCTGGTAGTTTGGGAAATACTTCTTATCGGTACATATAAATCATTAAAGTGTATGTCTGATAGCGGCTTATAAGCCCTAAAAATAAAATAGAATTTGGACTCTTTTAATTGTTCCGCTAATCAACCGATAGTTTCAATAAATTCTGTTTAAGAAATAGTCTTTAGGTATAAGATAAGATGGTAGTTTGGGAAATACGAATATCTTTCACATAAATCCTAGAAGTGTAACTCTAGGTCTAATAAATCCAAATGAAATAGAATTTAAACTTTTTTAATAGTTGCTCCTAATTGACCGATGGTTCTATAAAGTGTAAATATAGTCTCAAAAACAAAAACTCTAATGTACACAACGAATCATTATCACTTTAAATTTCATGAATTAAAACGTTTTGTGGAAAGTCCCAAAAACCCGCCATTAATTTATAGCACTTTAGGTTCGCACAGTATACTCGATTTTTTTCATGAGTTTGTCATTGCTCTCTGGCGCTATAGCTATATCTTTGTTCCTAATAATAAAATTGTCACCAATAAATTGTCTCTTCTAAGATAAGTACATATAAATGTGTCTCAGCAGGATGTGCTGTATGACAAACTGTATTCGATTAAACAGTACGAAGATCAGTGACTAAATAAATTTGGCTCCCACGTTTATTTAGTTTCAATACACTTCAGAGATTAGCATCGACAATGTTCGTCTACTCACGCTGATAAGCTTTCGCCCATATTAAATTATCAAATCCTAATCTGACAATCTTCCGTTGAATCAGTCTACATCACACTTTCGGTGAATGGACACTGTGAAATTTCTCTCTGCCAGGGAACTTCGGGTGGTTTCGCCATTTTTTTTAGAAGGCACAAGCCTTGTCGATATTATAAATTATAAATCTACTGCAGATTATACCCCGACACAGTAATAAAATTCAAGTTTAAACAATATCAGCTAATCTTATTTACGGCCACCGAGAGCATTCACACTCTTTCATAGTAAGAAGATCGACATTCTTCAGCTGGAAAGTCAAATGTAAATTGTACATTCCCCTATCATGTATAAAATACATTCTACATCTGAGGCGTACGCAATTTTAGGTTCGCTAAGACCTCTACAACCGGTATGCTTTGATAGTGCCGCATAGCTTATAGGATTAGTTATAATTAATTATTGATAAATGAACAGCCCAATAAACCTGAATTGGTATAACGTATACGTACTTAGACCATATGAGTGACGCAAATCAATCATTGAGTTTGCCCATATCTACCAAAATAAACTTCGGAATAGATGTCTCAACATTCAAGCGTTTATTTTACTTAGGTATAAAAAATCTACATAACTGAATAGCCTAGTAGATCACGGTCACATTGATTACAATTTAACCTAGTAGATCCGGCTCTCAAAAGAAGCTGGCCACGGGGTGGCATCCACATATTTGGGGAAGCTGTCAAGGAACTTTTTAAAGTCCGGCGTTATCAAGTCCTTGTGGTGGGTCCAATGACCTCCGATACCAAGCTCCAGAGTGGTTGAGTTCCAATTTCCATTGGGTTTCTAAGAGAGTTAGAATATAGCCATTAGAAAATCATCTTTAGTAGTTTATTAAAACTTACCTCCAGCTCTAGCCAGAATTTGAGGGGATCTCCATTAACGCCCCAGGAGAAGTAGATAAAGTAAGGTGTCTCAAAGTTTAGACGTAAGGGAGCCTATAATTATTAAGATATTAAAATGATATTCTGGATCTAATGTGTGTCTAATCATTACTTTATGGAAGGACCAGTCCTTCATCGTTGCTCCATTCAATGGCTGAATAAAGAGCGCCATGTGATTGGGCCCACTTAGCTGCATTTCATAGCGAATTTTGGTAGATGACAGCTGCTTCTTCGACAACACTATGACGGTAGGCAGATCTTCTCCAAGAACTGGCTCAGAAGCGGGTATCCACAAGCTGTTCTTTCTGGTCTTATGCCATCGCTGATTGTACAGGGGCAATCCGCAATTGATTTCCTTCTCGCAGTCAGCACCGATCTTTTGGGCAAGCGTCATGTTGATAACAGCATCTGCAAGATAGCAAATTTATATATAAGTAAATAAACCTCTAAATTATAATTCAACTTACTTTTAACTGTGTAAGTGCGTCTGTCCTGAGGCATAATGAAGTAACCAGATTCCTGACGGCGCACATGGTTTTCGGCGTCGTGGAAGGTACGTTTAGTGTGCTAATAAAGAAAAGGAAACATTTTTACACTATCTGCTTGTAAAACAACATCATGAATCCTTACCAACACTGCGAATCGTTGGACATTGGTATCTGGGCGGTAGGGGAATCCCACTGGAGTCATTGCAATAATGAAGCACAACAAAGTGATGCCCATCAGGCCACAGATAATGGTCTTCGATTTGTTAAACAGCTGCAGAACAGGAATAATAAAACCGCAGCACAGGAATCCCACAGCAACACTGAAAACAGCCACAGCCAAATCCGGGTTAAGGTTCTCGCCAAAACGACCGAACATTGGAATAAAGGTTGTGAAGAATCCGTGTGAGAAATATGCGAAGAATACGAACGGCGGCACAGTGCAGACAATGTGAGGAATGACCCAGGCCACATCTTTAAGATAATAAGGTACTTGTTAAAAACATATATTATGGAAAGTGTTCATCAACTCACCCTTGCTGTGCAGTTTAGTGGCTATATTAATGATCAGACCCATAGTGTAGAACAGACAACTGAGCATCAGAACAAAAACAGAGCGAATTCCACAGATGGTAAACACCAGGGTGAGGACGGCCAAAAGGACGCAGTGGCAGTGCAGCAAGAGCTGAATCCGCTGGCCAATGGGCAGCTTATCCTGTAAAAGATCCTCTTTTAGTCTTCCATCTAAGAAAACTGAGCCGGATATACTTACATACTTGGTCCAGTGGAAGTACAAAGCGGGAACTATAGCCAAACCAAAGAAGAATGTGGTGAAGTACAGGCCCAGGATGAGCCAGGAGTTTGTGAACCACGAAAGAGGCAAATGCACTGCATCCATGAAAAGACCTAGGAGAATTGGTAGGACGGCGGCCACAATAACTGATAGAATCTGCACAAGCAGTGTGTGCAAAACTCGCTTTAGGATCTTCTCCAGCTTTATTCCCGAGCTGACCGACATCAACTTGAAGGCAAAACCACAAATACCAATGGCTGCCAAGGCCACAATCACATTAAGAATAATGCCTTCGGTTTCGGTGTAGAATACCAGGAACCAGCCCATTACATCAAAGTAGATGGTGTGTCCTTCGGCGTATTTCTAAAAAGGAAACCAGGAAATTAGTGTTTAGTCTTAGGTTAATGATTAACTATTATTTTACCGAAGAATCCTCTATCTCCGGGCAGTTGGCAATCTCTCGAACCAGGGACAGCAGATTGTCACCAGTGTGCTGGAAACTTCCCCTAGGAAAGATTTCGGCCCTGTCGTGCCGTGTGTGGTAAACAAAACCGTTGTATGTGTAAGCCATATCCAATCCGGGAACCGATCCATGGTCACGGAAGATGCGGAAATCAGTGTCCGAGGGAATGAAATTGTGCTGGAACAGCTCTTCGCCCATGGTAGAGGCATACGGATGCTTAATGGCACGTCGGTAGTTCTTCATCAGCCAGGGATGATTGGGACCCGATTGGAAGAGGATCTCCCGACCGCCATTACCGCAGGAGTCCAAATTGATTAGGGCTCTTTAAGGAAAAGAAACATGTATAAGTACAATTTGAGCTTTTAAGTAGTGACTTACTTGCAGTATTTGGCCCACTTGTGCTGGGTGATGAAGGCATGAGAGGCTTGCAGGGGATTTTCCTCGGCTCCGTTGAACAGGAACACCACTGGGTTCTTCAAGGGCTTGTCCGACTTGGCCAACACACGCAGGACCTCCATCATGGTGGCCACCATGGAGCCATCGTCTCCAGCACCAGGTCCAGCTGGCACAGAATCGTAGTGACTGTTTACCAGAAGGTAAGTAGTGCTATTGGTTCCCTTGGGACTAATCTTAACCACAATATTCTGAATGCTCTGGTACATGTTGACCATCGACCAGTGGACATAACTGCCGGAGGCCACCTGAACGTCCACCTCAATATCGTTGGCAGAGCCCGATCGAATTTTCTGCATCTTTTGGGACAGCATCTTCAGAGCAGCCATCTCGTTTTGCCGGCTGCCCACCACTCGGGGTCCCAGACCCACCAGTTCCCGTAGATTGTTCTCCGCCCGCTCGGCGATGAATTGATCAGGGTGCTTGGCCTCATCCTGAATGGTCAGTGGGCGGGGAAGGCGGTGGCAGGCGGGGATTGAGATGGCCACGTAAAGCAGCAACCAGAATCCGAAGAAGGCGGGCGCCCAGAACCACTTGATCTTGTTCCGCTGCACAAAGGCCCGCTCACAACCATTGGGCTGGACCTGAAATTGATATTAAAGCTTAATACAAATAACTCATGTACCCAATAGTTCTATATCCAATAGCTGTCATTGCAGCAATAATGAAAACCATCT